ACACACAAATCAAGTTCCGGCCATCATCCTTGACCTTCAGGTTTGTTAAACTACTACTTCTCTACAATGCAGAAAAACTCATGCACTCATGGAATGTTATGAAATTAAGGTCGTATGTTTAAACGTGCATGACTTGTTTATTCCATCAATTATTTTCGAGAATTTTACTTTATTTTACATAGCACGTTTCGGGTGAAAAGATCATAATTATTTACGTATCATATCAATGTGTTTAAAGCTCATGTTCGTATTGAATACCATCTGAGTCTGCATGAGAACTTCCCACTATGGTGCTGTCAACGATACAACAGTGTCAGGATTGATGCATGGGGGCAAAGTCGTATCATTGCTTTCTTCGAATAACGCAAGTTGCATGCACATGAAGCGTCATTTATTTGGCGTAGGACTACGTCAGCGCCTGGCGCTGTCTTTGATGTATCATGACTTGTGAGAGTGAAATCTTTAAAAAAAAAAAAATGAATGCAAGATGAATACATGTATTTCAAGCAATGCGTCGTTAAATTAACGGGCTTTAATACCTTAATATGCTGAATTGGCGCAAGTTAATAACGCAGTCCAAAGGACGCAACGTGTAATGTGCAACCGGTATAACGTTGTTGACTCAATGGACATAACATTATAATACAATCATGTACTTGTACATGTCCAAGACTGCGTACAAGTTAAAAGCCATTGCGCTGTACATAACATTAATCATCCTTGACGAATTATTGATCGATGAGTATAGAGAACAGAGGGGGAAGGACATCTACAGAAAGAGAGTAGAGAAAGAGAGAGAGGGATAGAGAGAGAGAGAGAGAGAGGGGGGGGGGACAGAGAGAGAGGGAGAAAGAGAGAGGTTGGAAGAGGATGGATGAAGGACATCTAGAGAAAGAGGGTGGATAAAGGGAGAGAATGAATGGAGGACAGAGAGAGAGAAAACAAACCAGAAACAGGCAGATAGAGGTGAAAAGAGGAGAAGAAGGGTGGAGAGATATGGGAGAAATAGAAGGGGTTACATAGAAGGAAGGAAAGGGAGTTGGAAAGTGAAGTGGAAGTGCAAGAAGCAGTAGACGAAGAAGAAGATGAAGAAGAGAGATAATGATATAGGAGCATCTTTGGCAAGAAGATAAAAACATTATTGTCGGGTATTAGTTTTCAGGATAGAGTGGAAGGCGGAAATGAGAAAATTAGTCTAATTTAAAAAAAAAGTTATGATAATAATATTTTAAAATGGAGAAATGGGAGAAAGGAGTGGCGGAGAGAGAGAGAGATAGAGACAGAGAGAGAGAGAGAGAGAGAGTGAGAGAGAGAGAGAGAGAGAGAGAGAGAGCTGAAACAGTTTCAAACTTCTAAAGAACCTCAATGAGGAGGAAAATATGAAAAGAAGCGACATTGGCTGCAATCAATGATGAAGAGGAGAGTGATGTTTGGAAACATTAATGGTTTGCTAAATGCTCGTTCAATGTTTATGTTTGTCCATTTAGTTGGGTATCAATTACGCATTCTAAAAGGCGAACTCTAATCCTATAATTGAGCATGTATAATCTATACAGTGTCAAATTGTATTGGTCCCAAGCGTGTACATTTATGTTGGACATCATCGGAAATTGCTCTTATGTAACACATTGATATAAATGCTATGGAGTGAGCCGAGGTTTGAAAGTGATCCCAGAGTAAGCGCACGGTGAACACTTGACATTTTGAGTCAGAAGTATAATTACATGTATATAAATCCTAACTTAATACCATAAACAACCTTCAAAGCTGTAAATAAAACATGGTGCAATTAACAAGAATGAAGTCTGTGAATTACAACGAAGAAAATTAATGTTTCCAGGATGCATCCAGGAACTCCATATGAAGTACGGTGATGCCCTTGCCTGGCTTTCAAACCAGGCCAACCTTGGTTTGTCTTTTAATCATTTCATTAAATTCATTTCATTGTAAAGTAAAATGGAAATAAAATCTTGATGTGATCATTGATTGTATTGATTCCAGAAAGAACTATTACACTATTAAAATATTTTCATCTTTGCATGAGATACAATCTCGAAATAAGTATGTTTAGGTGTAAAACCTCTGGGGTTTGTATCGCATTAAGTAAGGTTAACATGATGTGGTACCTGAAGAATTATTCGTTTCTTTTGAATAATATTACAGTCATGATTATATCGTATCTCGAATAATGTTCAATTTATTTGCTTCGGTCAAAAACTGAACAGAAGTTGATCCATCAATTCACGTGTCTCCTCCCGGACGATTGCAACGCTAACGGAAGAAAGTCAAATGCTTGATCACGTGATTGTGGTTAGTAGGCCTATCATTGAAGACGGCTTAAAAATGACCTCTTGTGGCTTTCTATTATCACTTGTTGTGGTCAGAAAAAAACCTTCCGATTCAAACTTCATTGACGTCAACGCTCTGACTGTATAAAGGACCACAGACGCAGTTCTTTTAATTAATCTTTAAATTAATTTTAGCATCTACCTGAACAAATAAACTCATTTCAAATTAATTATAATATTGCACCAGCACAAAACCCATTGAAAGTATATGAGTATGATGATTTTTTTTTTCTTTCCCTCATAGACATATCTTCAAGGGCGGTTAACTTGAAATCGCCTGCATAAAAAAATTATTAAAAAAAATAAATTAAAAAACAAGATTCGAAGAAAAAGAAAAGAACAAGATCTCTTTTGAACATCATATTACTATTTGAGCAAAATATTCTTCGACTGATCGGTATAGCAAGACCACCACTTGGAGAATGTGATGGATTGTTTGTGTTTTTTGGGGTTTTTTTTAGACTAAAACATATTTCTGCTCCCATATTTTGCTCAAATGCCTTAACAGTAAATTCCAAAAGTTAAACAAATTGAATTTGAAAACTGGAAATTAATGGAAATAACCATCAACCTTTAATGTCTTTTCGTGTTGTAGAGCTTCGTATGTGTACGTACAGTAATTACTCGTAGTATCATATGAATATTGATTAGTGTCCACGTGCAAAGTGTGTCTCTCGATATATCATTTTGCAACGTGACCACAAAATGGCAACGACAGTCGGCGGTCAACACAACAGTATTTTAAAGGGAAAGTACACCCTGACATCAAGTTAATTTCAATAAAAAGAGAATTAAAAAATATATACATGGGTTGGCGAAAATGGAGGAAGTTGCGCATATAATATTCATTCTTTAATTTGTTATTTCTTTCGTAACGACCAAAGGACACAAGGATATATTCTAAAATTGTATTCAAATTTGTATTTCTTGATTCTTTATAAAAGGCCCTTTTATGGTAATTCTGGTTTAGCATATTGTAAAACATTGTTTTTGTATCATATTGGTAAAATATTATGACAATTCAGGCATCCGGCTTCGAAAATATGATTTAAGAAATATCTAAACTTCAATCTTCAATTCATTGATGTTTTTTTTTTTAAATGCCATAATATCATATTGCTGCAATGACAGAATTCCCATTTATGTCAAGACATAAGAATTTTGATATTTGTTGAGGTACATGAAGTTTACGACAGAAAAGGGGATCGTTTTGGTCAACTGAAAACTTAAAATATTCATAACTTCATAAAATCGTAAAGTCATCTTCACTTTTCACTGCAAAGTAGTTTCTCATATATTATTCTACATTCGTTTAAATAAATGTATTAATCGGGTTGGATTTCCCCTTTAATTAAAGCTGCCCACCATGGATCTCTATCTGATTGAATCAGCTGTCACGGGGTGCAAAGCTTTTTACCTCGATTCCACGAGTTGACTTGGTGACCATTATACAATACACAGGGCAACGTTATTAATTTAGAGAAAGTATGCCAGGTTGTGCAATCATATCATTATTGGGATGTACTGTTATTCACTCTCTTTCTTTTGTTACCCTTTAGTACTTGCTAAAACAGTTACGTAAACCACTACCATTATCACCCTCATCACACTGACATTCACAAACATCATCAGTGCTGAAATATTTATCATCAATCCGATCGCCGCCACCATCCTCTTCTTTGTATATTTAATAAACACCCCCACTCTCTCTCTCTTCCCCTCTCTCTCTCTCTCTCTATCTCCCTCTCTCTCTCTCTCTCTCTATATATATATATGAGCTGAAATACCATAATTAAATTTAAAAGTGGAAACTTATCAGCAGGAAATCACAGATAATATATCTCAAACTCTTGTTTTACCAGAGAAAACTGTCTTTTATCACGATTATATACAATTATTATACATTTTGCTCAACTTATCTATTTGTTGTTAATCCTTTAAGTTATTAATGATGTTCGATTGTAAACTAGATTCCCCCCAAATAATAATGAATCTAATCTTGAAATGAATCTGCCATTATTACACCAGTCATCCATGTCTGACTGCTCCTATTCTTTGTGTTCCTCAGAACAAAGTTTGAAGTTTTGCGATCAATATCTAGCTTTGTTGAAAATACAGTATGTGGTTTAAATTCCAGTCTGTGGTGAAAATTTTATTAGAACTGAGCTGACTACTTTACTCGTGTATTGTTCGGTAAACAAAGCAAATCAATGATTAAATTGTGATAGCATTGATCAATATTTTGAAGGATGTATTCGGTATTAGGTCATGTAGACAGAGAAATAGTTTATAAGAAGCTGAACTTTCAAAACTTTTGAATCATTATTATGGGGTCTATTCCATGCTGGACTATTTTCGGCAAGACTTGATCTTTATTTCAGTTCTTCGTCTGTAGGAACTGTAACATAATCATTATTAATATGAGATCCTTTGGGATTATTAAAGCTCTGCGTATTCAGTAATAACATATGCATTTGAGCGATTTTCTCTTTCAAATCTTATTCTAGAAATGCATCATTTTTTCTTATAAAAGAAATTCCTGTCTGGTTAGCTTTGTTTATACAGTGTAGTATCACAACAATACTTGCTGTTTTATAGAATTGTATACGTACGTTACAACTTTGAATTGGATTGAAGGGCAAAAAGTCTTACCTGTGATGTTCATGATTATATAAATCAATGTCGTGTGTAACCACCACATTGTCATGGTTTTCATCGTCAATGCCATCGTGGTCAACGATCACCGTACGTCTCACTCACAAAAATGGCTGCCACAACCACGTAGAGTACATCCACGGTGACAAACTTGTCATGAGACTTGTATAAAGTAAACCTTCGATTGTTATTTTTCCGTCCTCTATGGCTTGAAACAGAGTATCCAAGAAAAGATATTAAGAATCCCAAGACGGTGATAGCGATTCGATGTTGCCGAGGCCGTAGCGGTGTTTGGTCGTGCTGCCACCGTACTCTGACACCGGCACACTTTCGCTGTAATATAGGTGATGATGATGATGATGGTGATAATGATAGCACATGTATCGAGTTACCTGGTGGTGAGTGCCCCCGGGGTGGGGTGAGACTTATCCGGGCAGAGGTGTTATCCTTGCCCCCACCCTTGTCAGACTAGTCACACACCGGTTGTTTCTGCTCGCGGCGCCGCGATTTCACCGGGAGATGCTTGCTGTCTCCCGCTCTCACTCAGTCACGAGATAATGAACCTTTTAGAATATATGAAATAAATCACGAAGAGAAAGCTTCCAAACGAAATTCAAAAGTACCTTTCCTGAGTTCGTTGAAGAAATTACTATTCATCCCTGGAGAATGCATCTTAGTGATGTTATGATATTAAAAATAGAAGGCATGTGGCCTTGGTGATTCAAATCCCTCGACAGCCTCTATACTGGCCGCCAGTGAATACACGCAGCAAGTGCGATAACGTATCCATGTACGTGAGGGGTCTCCGCCGCAGAAAATCCTCTAATTGTTCGTGCTCAGCACTGCATCATCCCACCTCGAGGGGGCGGCATCCAACATTCTTCATGGCACTAATCTTACCCCAGCTTCCCCTTGTGCTTATATCCCTGGCTTCCTATGATTATCAGAAGTTTTTACCCTTTTAAGTTATCATAATTGCTCTTGAATGTATACTAGTCATACTAGAATCCCATCTACTAAGTGCTAATCGGGAATGAGACTTCGCAAAGTCAAGATTAAGAGTCTGCAACAATGCCGGTTAAGATTCAATTGTAAATTTGACTTAAAAGTCCGCGTTTCAGTCAACATTATGATGTTTCTATCTCGTGCAAATTGCTATCCCTTTTATTCTATATAAGCGGAATATTATTATTACTATTGTTATTATTAATATTGATGTTATTATTATTTTAGCATGATGTGCTATAACAAACATTAGTTTAATAGTTTTCAACTTCTGGAACATTGCCTAAATTCCATCAGTGACACAAACTCACTGGGGGGTCCTTAACCCCATCACTCACTGGACCTATAACAAAGTACACTGTTGGTCATACTGGCAGACACCTCTGATAGATACCCCTATTAAAATCGCATATGTTCCCCTTTTCCTTTGTAATAGGTGCCCCTTTCCATTCTCACAAGTGCCCCTATAACTCTGTTAATGTAAAGGAGCTAATTTCCGCTCGTCGAGGAGTGTGATTAGGTACCACTCCTTTTGGAGTGAAATTTGGACGGAATTCACCCTCAAAAGATGTAAAGTTCACTCCAAAAAGACCGATTTTTTTTCTAAAAGACTGAATTTATCGTCTTTTAAGAGCTGACTTAACATCTTTTGAGGGTGAATTCCGTCAAAATTTCACTCCAAAAGGAGTGGTCCCTAATCACACTCCTCGACGAGCGGAAATTAGCTCCTTTACATTAACAGAGTATTCATTTCATGTGAGTTCTCCTTTTCAGGAACATGAAATGTCCCTTAGCATCTCTGATAAGTACCCCTTCACCTCTTTTCAAATCTGAAAGGTGTCCCTTATATTTTGACAAGTGCCTCTTTACCTTTATATGCCCTCTTTTCCTTCTTATAAGTGACCCCTTTTCATCTCCGATGAGTGCCCTAATTACAATTTTAGAGGTGCCCCGATTGTAACTGTGTAATAAGTGCCCTTTTTATCTTTGAAAAGTGCCCCTTTTATTTTGACACGTGCCCCTTATCCTTTCTAATTAGTGCGATTTTCCTTCTGACAATTGCCCCTTTACCGTTCTCATAAATGCCATTTTTACATATCTGGTGAGGTACCCTTTTTACTTTGACACGTGCCCTTTTTCTTTTCTAATAAGTTTCCCTGTTCCTATCAATATGTGCCACCTTGTACTTTCAACATAATTTTTTTTAGCGACTGAGAGCAACTTTTGCTTCAATTTTCCCCAAAGCTCGCTTGCATTTAAAGTTGATATAATTATGTATCTTATTTCAATTCTTTTCAGTCTGTCATAATTAGATTGTGCTTCAAACCTCATCAGGTTAGTTTTTTCATCTTTATAAGATGTAATTTTTTGCATTGCGACTTCACTTCCCTCGGTCGCAAATAAATATTAAGACCATTACACCCAACTGCAAAGTATGATGCTTAAGCAGTATCTTGGACCATATTAAAGCCCGTCGGCACTAGTTTGGCCAGGGATTAGACCTCCCTGCAAGGTCACTGACAGCTCTCACTTAACATAAGAAAAAGTGGATCATGGGGACCAACTGCACCGATTAGGCATTGTTTGCTATATAGAGGGCGCAGGTAGCTATAAGTAGTGCAGTGGGGCTTTAAGAGAGAAACAGACATTGAAATCATCACTGATAATGTATTCACAAGTAGGGGTATGTACCAATGTCTACAAATAGTATTTTCGCTTTGAGATTTCCCATTGTAGGTGCCCATTTTTCGTTGGAGCTGAAAAGGAAAAAAAATCTAAATTATTGGGTCGTCTTTTGGGTCTAAATTTTTGGCCGGGTAAACAATAAGGGGAGACATGACTGTGCTGTTGTTATTAATAATATTATTATCATCATTATTTGAGTTTTCACTGTCTGCTGGTGATACATGTGCTCTTATGAGTAATAGTATATACACACGCTTGTCTCATAAGTAAACAGGGAAATTTCAAAAGTTTTGTTATGGTTTAAAGTAAATAAGTTATTTTTGAATGTTACTAAAACAAAATATGTCATATTTAGTTCAAGGAACAGGAAAGTGGAAATTTATAGTTTATTACCTGTTGTCATTAATCATCTTGTTATATCCGACTGGAAAAATATAAGATTCCTTATAGTTGCAATCAATGAGTCGTTTGACTGAATGTGCATAATTATATTCGAAATTCTAAGACTCTTGCGGAATACATGTATATTGATATCCTCTCTATATTAACATTTCTATTCATGCCTAGTAATGTTTTAAATATTCTTTACAATAGCCTTGTTTTACCACATCTTAACTAATGCAAGATTGTGCAACATTTTGGGAAATACTTAAAAATCACATCTGAAAAAAAAAATGTTTTAAAGAAAAAGTCTCTAAGAAATATAACAAAGTCACAAATGCAAAGTCAAAGTAAACCACTTTTTAAACAGATGCAAATCTCGCATTTAGTACGGTTTGATAACATTCAATACTCTAATTTGTATATACTTCGGGATACCATGTTACAAGCATTTTGCTTTTAGGTGTTCCTAACCATTATTTTATTTACTATTTTAAATTGATATTCTGTTATTGTTTTCATTTGATGTTATTGTATGGTTTAATCAATACATACAAATACGATACTCTAGTGTAAGAGATGACATTTTCCCCTGGGAAGTATATGTTTCTTCAATTTCCATAAACCTAAAGTAAGACTTACTTCTTTACCTAATTCATTACTGTGATGCTGGCGTGAGAAATGGAACCAATTAATTACCCACTTCTATAGAATTTAGTTCAAATTTATCCTATTTTAAAAAGTCTTCTCACAAATACCTATTTCAAAATTTGTTGCAATACATTATTTCGTGTAGATATAGTTCGTATATGCAGTATTTTGTATGGGTGTGCGGGTGTGTGTATGTTGCCTGAATTATAGTTAATTTGATTTGGTTTTTTTGCAGTTTGTAGGGGCCCTATTTATAAGCAATTTGCTTCTTTGTGATCCTGGCCATATTACATTTGCTTTGTATTTTATATGTTTTATATATTGTATTTTCTATTTTATGTTTTGCTTTTACTAGGTCGAATCATTATATTCGATCCAATTTCGATCTTGTTACTGACTTACATGAATACAAGAAATAGCCAATTCAACTTTAGCTTACCAGAAAGAGTAGGTAGTATTGGAAATTCGTTTTTATTACAATGCCATGAAACATTGGAATTCCCTTTCCAATGGTATAAACGAAATAGAAAACTATGCTCATTTTAAGAGGAAATTAAAGGAATACCTAATACTTGAGAGTCAGACTCAGAGAAGCGAAGTGAATGACATGTTATATATAACATGTCATTCACTAATAGATTGAAATTGAAATTGAAATTGATTGAGATTGAAATTTGTATTCCTCTGCCGGTTCATACTTTTTTCATTTTGTATATACTTATGTTTTTTGTAAGTTGTAGAAATTCTGCATATTAATCATTATTTACCTCTTTTTCCACTCCTCCTCCTCCTCTTGTTCTTCTTCCCCTTCTCCTTTTTCTTCTTGTACTTATTGTTAGTATTATTATCTTTAATTTTAAAAAAAAGTCTTTATCTGTCTGTAAATATTACTATTTTAACTTATTAATGTTGTACATGTCTGTAGGGGACCCCATTGGAAATAAGCTCTCGAGCTTTCGTGGGTTATCCAGTTCAAGCTGACTTAATGTTGTATTTCTTGTATATTGTTGTATGTTGGAAGCTTGGCGAATACAAATCAATCAATCAATCATCAATCAATTATGGCTTAAAAAAAAAAAAAAATCAGTTTTGTTTAATCGTTGTTGCTATTGTTATAATGATGTGAGCCCAACCATTTGGTGGTGAGCAAAAACCGGGAAAGGAGCATTTTTATTATTTGCAAACTGAAATTCCGATCACTATGTAATATACATTTTTGTAGATATATATATATATATATATACCATTGATGAACGTGACAACATTTGAATTAGTTTTTTTTTAAACTGACATGTATGTTAGCTAACATTGCGGGGTATTTTTTGTAGCATGTGTAATATATTTGAGGGTGAGTTTGCATTGTCACGTCACCAGAAACTATTTTTACTTTAGCAGGCATAATCATGATATGAATATAAGGCGGGGAATATAATTATATGCCCCTAAAAATATATGAAACAGCATGCTACCTGTTCATCAATCATTTATTGCTGCTAGTCTATTTCTAGTACACATTGTTGTGCTTTCATCGTTTCTTTGCAGTTTATTTATTATTTTCGAACAAAATATTGATGAATGAAATACACAATATACATACATGCCAATGCCAAAGTCACTTTTGGACGGTTTGAGGGAAGTGCCTGTAAATGTGATATAAATACGCATGCGTCAAAACCCTCTTGTCCGAGCATGCGCAATATTCTTCACATCCTATAGCTTAATTCCAGGCACATTTGATAATAATTTTGTATATTTTGTTTTGTTCACTTATGGCCGACTTTCAACAAACCCTTGGTAAATGTATTCATATTGGTGTATTATTGAACTGCAACAATAATCAGCCATTAAGAAACTAAAATTTCATATAAGATGATGTTATAGACTAGTTATCCTGAGTTTAGTAGATCTATTATTAAACACTAAAACTTCAGAGCTTCATTTGACATTTAAGTTTAACAGTTTAAGCTATTTTCATATCATGTTATTATATTAGTAAAATTACTCAAATAGATGACCGGGTAAAGTTTTAAATTGCTCGGACTGCATGCATGCTCAATCAATGTCCTGGTAGACACTGTTTAAAAAATATTGTACATATGCGACTTGAATTAGCTCTAGTTTCACATTGCTTTCCTGTAGCATGCATCGTGAATAATGTGAACGTACTTAAAATTTGCACGTACGTCATGATCGTAGGTACAGTGCAATGAATGGGCAGTTCTCACGTGTGGACTAACTGAATTTGCGCGCGACAATTATTGGGACTGTCGACGAATTAAAAGGAAAAAGCAGGTAATATAGTTCAAACGAGTGAGTGATTTTAGCACTAAAGGAACACATGCATATTTCACTTATAATGCCTGAATATTATATCTGTATTTGCTGAGAGAAATTGTTACAGTGAATATTAATGTCGAATCTGTAATGCCATCCATCGCAGATATCCAGTTATGACTGGTTTTTTGTACGGGCTTTGTGTGTGTAAAAGACGTGAAACGTGCTTGGCTTCACGTACGTGTGGAATGCATGCCCTACACATGTGTGCATGTGCATTGCCTACAAAGAGTTGAGTGACGTGATATTCATGATTGCCTTGTCTTAACTTTGTGTTTATGTTCATGATCAAATGACATGAAGGAGTAGAATATTATCATTATTATCCTAGATAAAGGAATTTGGAACTGAATAAAGAGGCTTAAAGTAAAAGCCTTGAGCAGAGTCTCTGTCATTCATCATTGTGTTCACATTTTTATCAAAAAATTATTGATATCAATTATCCTCATGATGTGGTAGCAAATATAGGGGACCGCCATCTAGATCTACGTCTCCTTTTGGACAATTGCACATAAACGAATAAACTTGATTAACGGTAGTTAGCGACTTAATCTCTACATCATCATACATGGTCGGCGTTCGCGAAACAGACCAAAATTCTCATGCTTCGCCTTCGGTTTTGGTTTCGCTTATGTTACACACACGCAGAGCTACCAAGTGTCACGCATTATGCGTGACAGTCATGCATCAGGGGTCTGAAAATGCTGTCACGCATCAGGGCCAGACTGCGAAAAAAAAGGGGGGGAACAGTAATTGCTAGACTACGTACGTACTGGCCGACCGCCTCGAGGCCTCGGCTAGCTCCTCACAGGGTTCATGTACGTAGCATGCATAATGTGCAGGCCTACTATTAGGGTGTCTGAACGATTTTTCAATTTTCAATTTGGGATCGTTTTTCACCATTTTTGTTTGATATTTGAATTAAAAATGTAATCAGAATAATACATTTCGAATTTCAAGTCTCGCCGATGTTTCTATCAAAAGATACAGCCCCTTCAAAACGCTGAAATATTCATAGCATTTTGCTCAGCATCGACGAAAAAGACGTACACGCAGAGTATGTTGTTTTGCTAAATTTAGCCAAACAGCTGTATCGCGCGATATGCAAGCGTATGCATATCGTACGCAAGTTGCTCAGCCAATGCGCGACTTGCAAGCTTGAGCCACGCTGTCTCCGCGATATGTGCCATTGACTAGTATGGGTGGCCGTTCCCGCCATAGAACCCGGAAGTGAATACACGTTGTAGTCAATGGCAATATCGCGGAGACTGTCTCCGCGATATTGCCATTGACTACAACGTGTATTCACTTCCGGGTTCTATGGCGGGAACGGCCACCCATACTTTCATTCACTATAAGCGCACATGTTACGCGATGTAACCATGGTTTGGACTGAGCGGAGCTCACGCCTCCCTAATTAGCTGATTCCAAAAATGTGGGAAGGGTATTTTCAAACTGTTATAACAAATGATCCCTTGGGGCTAGCGAAAAAAAAAGCATCTGGATATTATCCTTACGTCTAGCCCTGCTTAAGCCGCGGGGCGGCAGCTCAGGAAAGTGGCAAATTTTGGAGCTAGGATGCAAACAACATTTCAATCGCTGTTTTGACCAAGATATTTTTAGAATTCTGGGGGTGGCCCCCGATGGGGAATATGGAGAAAAACCTGCTCTTTCATATGACACCTCATTTATTGAGTTTCACCTTCAGGATCATTTGTTATAAAGGTTTGAATTTCAAATTTTTTCATAAAATCATTGACCAATTTTGGATGGTCGCGCAATGCACGTAGACCACATAGGGAAGCGTACAATCTCTATGGGAAGGGTTTTAGCACACAACATTGGGTGCGCGATCAGACACCCTACTACTATCACCCCGCGTCATGTGCATACGCGTTTTCAAAACGTACGCTTTACCCTCACTCCCGCGTCAAGTCGTGAAAATGTCACGCATAGCTGATCTTGGAACTTGGAATCTCTGCACACGTGATTGCAGCTGTGGTGGCGTCGGTAGTCGTTATATACCCGATCGGCCCCGAGTGAGGCTACAGGAAAGACAGGTAGTCTCATCAGTTTACCAGCAGGGGCCTGGCGCTGATCCGAGAATAAGGATTGTCTTCATAAACGAGGATCGTCTTCGCAAACATTTTACATTGACTTTGTACAGAGACTTTCACATTATGAGCGATAGATCCTCGGGAAGACGGCACCCAATAAAAATAGACAGTGAACTGAGTTATTTTCTGACGAGGAATCCAATTTTTGCATCGCCAGCGGGCGGTTCGGTAACCGGAATGAAATAAAAACATCGCGAAAAATGCAGACAATCCTTATTTTTGAGGACGCATTTTGTCCGCGTTTACGAGGATATCGTTGTTTATGAGGAGGATCCTCATTACTGTTTGCACCCCCTTTAAAGGCAGTCTGTATTATATCCTGCATCAATAATGTGTTGGCTTTTGATTGATCGAGAGCTTGTCACATGACCAGAAATATTTGAACTATTTTTAGAAAGTATTATATATATGAGAGTACTATTTGGGAGTTGAAAAAAAAAAATTAATCTTAATTTAATGAAAACAAAATATTTTAATTCTTTTTAGATAAAAATTGCCTTTATTTTTGGTCATAAATTTTTTTTTCTCCCAAAAATGTTTTTTTTGATGCAGGATATGAAACAAATATACCATGCGTTCTATTCGAGGTACTGGTTAAAACTATGGGCCTCGGTGACTCCAAAAGTACTATTGGAATCGCCTCTTGCGCATAGTTTTAACCAGAACCTCTCGAGTCGAGACAGTGTATATTTGTATACGTTAGGCTAGGAGGAATTAGACCATCCAGCGAGATCACTGACAGGTGGATATCTCATTAACTCAGAGCTCAACTAACATAAGAAAAAGAGGATCATGGGAGACCAACAGGCACTGATTGGGGAAGTTTTCTATATAGAGGGAGCAAGTAGCTACAAGTAGGACAGTGGGGCTTTGAAGTATAGCAATCAAATGCAAATTTGCAACTCTGATGAGTGATGTATCTTGCGAGGTTCCCTCCTATTTGTACTAAAAAAATCAGAAGAAGTATTTCCCTAAAGAAAATGTTCAGTCATTCATGCACTCTTAATTAAATATCATTCCCAAATATAATTATACCAAATATGTTTCTATACAATACAACCCCTATAACAATGTCATCAATAACTAAGAAAATGAAAATTGAAAGTTTGTGAAATTTCTAGAGCAATTGACCGAAGACATCGATACAGCTTTGCCAGTTTCTGGTTAATAGAAAACAGAGTATACAGGATTCATGCTAGGGATGGAAATTTTGTTACTTCTTTAAACGCCATGTTAAATTGGCAAATTGCCTCTTCAGTGACATGTCGCCTCTTCTCATTCTGTACTGGAGGAATGACGGAAGGGAAATAAGGATAGGAGTACATGCATGTATGAGGTTTATCATAATCTCGTTGAAATCCTTGTACATTTGATGACTGCTATAGGAAATCTTCATCAGTGTGCACACACTTATTTGCTTGTAAAGTCTATGGAGGGAGAGTAGTGAAAAAAGATTCTGATTGTATGCATTTGCAGGTATCTACAGTCCCAGCCCACTTGTTGCTGTGTACTGTTCGATGCAATGCTATAGTAACCTCAGTGAATGCATCATTGGATGGTGAGGGCTAACCCCTACCCATGTCATCCTGGAAAAAGACTGAGACACAAAGAAGATGCCTTTAACAAATTTAACAATGTAGCAAGTACGACTATACGCTACAAAGAGGACTGTACTCAATGGAAGAAGAAGAACAATGAATGCGTTAAAAAAAATGAATGCCAAGTTTAAAAAGAATGAATTTTCAACGTGTTCAGTATGCAGATACATGTACAGAGAAAATAAGAGAGGGCCTTGGAAGATAGGTCACAGATTGCCAATTTTTGTTTTGTTGATTTTTTACAACTTCAAAATTTTAATTTTAAAAGTTTTTAAAACTTGTTTTTATTTTGATCCGAATAATTTTTCTCAATATCATAATCTTTTTTTCTCATTTTCCTACATGTACTTCTATGAAAACCAAGAACCGGGTTACTTAGACTCCCATTATGTGAGTTTTTCAAATGCCTTGCATCCTGTCTGTTTTATTCTTGTTTATTTGTTTGTTTCACATTGGACATTTGAATTTATACATTAAACTCATTCCATTTTTGCACTTTGTTTATTTACACAGATTTTCATCACAAAGAGAACCTGTGTCATACAGAAAAATGAATGCAGACTCAATCACTCCAGGTGTCACGCCCAACGATCCCATCGCTACATTCAAGGTAAATTATATCTATTCACACAACTTAAACCAAAAATGAAGAATTTATTTGCCTTGTCTTGGAAGCAAACTTAAAACATTATTTATGTGTTTGACAGTAACTTTTGTCTCTCACCTTTGAGATCGCTATGTAAGAAGTTCTATCAAGTAATGCTTATTTTTCTTATAAGTTAAACTTTTTCAAGACACTTCAGAGATGTGTATTAATATTTATTAGGACTGTTGCCGGTGGATTCCGATTGTATGCATTTGCAGGTATCTACAGTCCCAGCCTACCTGATGCTGCGTACTGTTCGATGCAATGCTATATTAACCTCAGTGAATGCATCGTTGGATGATGAGGGCTTATCCCTACCCATGTCATCCTGGAAATAGACTGAGACACAAAGAAATTCATTAAAGATGAATTGTGGAAAACTGTTGAAAAGACATTATTGGATATCATAGGTGTATGTCCTCAATGGTAACTGATGAATCCTCGGTCATACCAACGAGACCGACTACAGACTGTACCACAAAAGAAAGTTCACCAAATGGTCAAGAATCAGTCGGTTACCTAAACATCGCACAAATTAACTTGATCTCTTTTGCGTTCCTATACAGCTTGTATTAGTTGGTGATGGAGGTACCGGTAAAACAACGTTCGTGAAAAGGCATCTCACAGGAGAGTTTGAGAAGAGATATCTTGGTAAGTTATCAGCTACAGGTGACAATTCATGTGAAAGCTTAACGTGACAGTCCGATAACTATAAGTTCAGGTCAAGGGCATGCCGGAGGCATTGGCCTGAATTCACAAAGAGGTTTGTCAACAAACCTTGGTTTGAAACCCATCAAAACGCATCATATGACGCACATAAACCTAGGTTTGTCTACAAACCTCCTTTGTGAATTCGGGCCATCATGTTTTTGGATCATACGTCCGTCCCGCTTTCTTCTTATCACGATACCTCAAGAACACTTTAGCTATGAATTTCAAACTGATGACAGTGTTCCATCATAGGAAACATGATCTGATTAGATTCTGGAGGAGGTAGGTCAAAGGTCATAGGGGTCAATCTCTGAAATTACAGGTATTATCTCAAGAATGGGAGGTTTGAACTTCAAGCTTGGTGTCAATATGTGTCACCGTAGGGAGACTTATCTGATTAGGTTTTGGAGCAGGTAGGAAAAATACTGCAGAAGATTTTTTGCGGTGGTTTACCACAGCATTTCTGAAGAAGCCCTTAGGTCTATCCCGTGCAAACAATATCCCTCTTCTAGCACATCGATTGCTTTGAGCGTTGAACCAGTTTGCAAAATTAAAGATCTCAACGGATACTTGTTCACCCTTGATGATTTTTCATGATAGGTGATATCCCGAGATTACATTTCAAGAATGGATTGTTGACTGTTGTCAAGTATTAGTAATCTTATTCTTTGATGCATTCATAAAAAAAAATAGGTGTGATTAGGTGTATAACATTCCTCTCATCTTACTACCGTAAAACAAACTTTGCTTAAAGTTACAGCAAGCTGTCCATATTATGGGTAGGTCATTATCGCATTTGAAGAATGAAAGAGAGAGAGAGAGAGAGAGAGAGAGAGAGAGAGAGAGAGGGGGGAGATGATATTTACCTTTGTGTCATTTTCTTTGTGCAGTACTACATGAATGAATGATGTTTTGGCCATTTGGGGGATAATGTAGCTGTTTTTTCGGTCTGGTGGTGGTTTCAGGCTCTCAAATGTGAGACTACTAATGTGGGGGAAATAAAGGATAACGTAAAATCTTATATTTCTTCTTTTTTTCTTTCTTTCTTTCATAGCAACACTTGGTGTTGAGGTCCATCCACTTGTCTTCTACACAAATAGGGGTCCCATCAGATTCAATGTATGGGACACAGCAGGTCAGGAGAAGTTTGGAGGACTTCGAGATGGTTATTACATCCAAGGTAAGTGGTTTTTGATGAGTTTGATTATTAAAAAAGAATTAACTCCTGTATTTAACACTTCTTTGCTGACTTTTAGTGGAGGGGGGGGGGGGTGCAATCAACATGCCATTGGGGCTTGGGCATCTTATTTTGAGATCTTTTATGCATACGTAGAAATAATATATGCATTTTGACTGAAAAACAAATTTATATTTTGCATAGAGAAGTAAAGTGTACTGTTCATTGAGTGCACCTTATGGGGATGGAAAATTGTACCTTTATTGACAAATTTACTGTACTTATCAATCAGTTATAAGTTAAATAACTTTTTCCTTGGGTTTAACACGCCATATCTGAAAAAGCTGTTAGGTCTGTGACCGTCTGTTCCATGCAAACAATATCCCTCTTCTAGCACATCGATTGCTTTGAGCGTTGAACCAGTTTGCAAAATTAAAGATCTCAATGGATACTTGTTTATCCATCATGATTTGTTATGATAGGGTGATATCCCTGAGATTACAGTTCAAGAATTGATAGTTGTCATTTAGTAGTAATCTTATAGTACTACTATATACTACCATCCATTTCCAGCCTAACCGCTCACGATGGCAGTCTCCTGCGTTCTGAAATTTAACTCCTTAGTTAAATGAAAATATATACAATTATCTGTTATACTTGTTTGTATAACCATGTATTTGGTATTTGAATGCAGAGATAAAATCAATCAAACAAACAAACTGTATGTGATTGTCACTGCGAGAATTTGTCTTTGAATTTTGACACCAGCTATTGATAAACAAGTTTATATGAAACAGGACCCTGGTATAGGTGACAGTGTGCACAGGTTCATATTGAGCTAACAGCATTGCAGCAGTAGCTGCTTTAGGGTTTCTTCCTTGAAAGCCTTTAACCCAAAGACTACAGTAAACTGAATTCTCATAGGCTTGAGCAGGGATCACAAGGTTTGCATATGTAATGGGTTAAATGACTATGGTCATAGAGATTGTGATGACAAAGATTATATTTTCTCTTTGTGTTTGACTTACAGGGCAGTGTGCCATCATCATGTTTGACGTCACTTCAAGAGTCACATACAAGAACGTGCCCAACTGGCATCGTGACTTGGTGCGAGTATGCGAGAGCATCCCCATCGTGCTCTGCGGCAACAAGGTGGACATCAAGGAAAGGAAAGTCAAAGCAAAGACCATCACCTTCCACAGGAAAAAGAACCTCCAAGTAAGAAGATATAACCATAAAAGTTTGTTCAGATATGACACAATAAAACTGCCACATTTTTCTTGGTATGATGACTTAGGGTGTATTACGCTTCACGTTTCTGTATCTTATAACACGGAGCTCGGTGAATACACGCTGGACTTTTGTTGCGCGCAGTTGACATTCATTTACACATAAAAGAGCTGTGGTAGTGTTGTTTTTTGTGGTGTTTTACCACGGCATATCTGAAGAAGCCCTTAGGTCTGCAAACAATATCCCTCTTCTAGCACATCGATTGCTCTGAGCGTTGAACCAGTTTGCAAAATTAAAGATCTCAATGGATACTTGTTCACCCTTGATGATTTTTCATGATAGGGTGATATCCTTGGGATTACAGTTCAAGAATTGATTGTTGTTAATTTTATTCTTTGTTGCATTCATAAACAATAAAGGTGTGATTAGGTGTATAACATTCCCCTTGTGTTACTGGTACTACAGTAAAAGTTGTAAGTGTACAGTGAAACTTTGCTTAAAGTTACAGCAAGCTGTCCCTATTTCTAGGTACTACCGGTAAACACAGTTCTTTGTATTACACTACTGTCTTTTAGGCCAGATAGAACAAGGTCTAATTGTAGTAGGTAATTTACTAGGTCCCAAAGAGTGTGGTTGCATTGCGCTTCACTTGCGAAGTTTGTGTAAATCAACAGTTCTTTTCATAGGAGTTAATTTACTCTGATTAAAACATATCTATATTGTCTGTCTTTAAACAGGGTTCCAAACTAACTTTCTTTGAAAAGTGATTCCAGATTAAATTTTGTAAGAATCTGTATGCCTTAGCCATATGCTGAAATTTTAGGGGTCCATATTTTTATTTGGCCGCCCATGTGTCCCAGGCGCCAGCAAGCATTGAGCCCTGATGAATAATGGGTAGGTCATTATTGTATTTGAAGAAAGTAAAGGAGAGAGGGAGAGAAGATTTACCTTTGTGTTATTCTATTTGTGCAGTACTATGACATCAGTGCTAAGAGCAACTACAACTTTGAGAAGCCTTTCTTGTGGCTTGCCCGTAAACTGTGTGGAGATGCCGAGATGAACTTTGTTGAGATGCCAGCCCTGAAGCCACCTGAAGTCCACATGGACCCCAATCTTCAGAAGCAGTATGAGACTGAACTTCAGGTAAATTTTTAGTTTCTGTGTTATTCTACATTTGCACTTGCAACTTAAAGCCTAGCTTTGAGCGCCACCCAAGACAAGTTCAGAGTTCTGTGACCTGGGGAGGGACGTGACTATTCTGTGGTATTTACAGCGTCTGTTGACGCATGGCCTTTGTGGCGCTATGTTGTTCTGACTACATTTTTATGAGGGTCTGATTTTGTTAAGTGGCATGTACAATACCTGTTGATGATTTTGTTCAAACTTTGAAAATGTATTCCAAACAGTTGTGAAACAACAATATGTCAAATAAATTTCTTATCCATATCAAAACGTTAAAAGTCAGGTAGCTATTTTCTTAATGAACAGCTGCCAATAAGTATATTTTTACCTCATTTAGCAAATGGAAATAAGATAATACAATTTTGCTCAATATATGTTTTTGTTTTTCGTTACTGTAATATTTTTTTCTTTTCTGTACATCATCAACCATCATGAATGAGAGTATTATAGATCAGAAGAAAAGGGTTAAAACTTGAATGTAGAAGAGCATAATTGTATTGTTTTTCCTTTTGTTTCCTCCATGACTATCAGAAATACACTATTGAAATTTGAAAATATGTATGTCTTCTGTTAACTCGACAGTTTCACCAATATTTGTATCTTGAGTAGTCAGTTTTACTTCTACTGTAAATGTAATTACCTTGAATAATGAATATATGTTTGTTAATTTGTTCCAATTAAAAATCAATAACATCCATGTGGAGGGAAAAGCATGGAAAATAAAAGCTAAAACAAATTAAATGCATGAATAATTGTAATGTTTATTTTTCTCCTTTCTTTTGCTTTGCTTGCAGGAGGCACAAAACACTGCGTTACCGGAAGATGAGGACGACATATAAACTCATCTGCTTTATTCAGTCACCATCATATTATTTGTTAACCTAGCTTTATGAATACAAGACTAATGTTTGTGTGTTGTCTATAGCCGTGAGGGGATGTTTTTGGTCAGAAAAAGATGAATTCCTTTGTAAAAAAACTATAAAAAAATTGATAAGATTGGTAAAAACTGGTCATGTCAAATATTATGTTGTTGCAAGGAATACACTTGCATACTCTGCCACTTTGCATATTTGTCTTCTTTTTTTTTAATGGGAGGGAATGATGCATTTGCCACTCAAAGGCTCCAAAATCATCTGTTCTGTGGGACTGTAGCAGGCATACAAAGTAATTTTCTTTTTATTTATACACTGTTCAACATAATATTGTGTGATATAATATATTCAATTCAAAGGGTTTTTCTTCTGCCTAGTTCCTGCTTTAGATATTAACAAACTATGTTGATTGTAAACTACATTTCTGTTTACCTCAGAATACCTATTATCATGAACACACTGTATTATAATTGATAAAAAAGGAACTGGATGTTCTGAAAAAACATGTACATTTTATTGGTATTCCTTTTGTTCTGAACATGCAAAAAGGAAAATGTAAATAGGTAATTTTGATTTAATATTTTTGGTAAGTTGTTTAAAGTAGTTCAGGTATCAGATTGAATGCTTCTGTAAACTTCTTTTCACTAAGCATGAATCTCTGTGAAGAGAAAAACATCTGAATTTGACATTCTTTTTCAGTGATAAAAACATCAAATTCATTGGATGAAAACAAACGTTGTAATATAGCTGTATATGAATTCATATATGGTCATTTGACTGTACATCAACATTTATTTTTCCAATTTTGTTTTATTTTTACTGAAGGTGATGTTTGTTTAGAATCAAAAGGTTGATAACTGTGAATCCCTTTTAATTCTCATCAAATATTATCTATTTTCTTAAAGAAGATGACGTATTCCACCATTTTGTTTTTCTATTGGTATTTGTTATCATATTTAATGTAGTTTGTATGTAAAGCTCACGTGTATGTTCTGAGTGAAAAATCTTTTTGTCATCCAGACTTCCGCTTACATAGTCAGGTTGGGCCAATATCAGGGAACTATGCTCTAATTAAAGCGCATCTTGTCGAAGATTAAAATACACTAAAGGATGAGGATAGTCATCTCTTTCTTTCATTTCTTTTAAAGCAGCCTATTTCTATTCTTATATTTCTTAATAAAAATACATATTGTTAATTCAATCATGTATTATATAAAAAATGTGGGAGTGGAAAGAGGGATAATTTTTTTTTATTCTGTCTAACATTTCATTGGTTAAATGTCAATTTGAATTCCATGTTAGCTCAAGTAGCTACAAGTTCATATGATTCTCACATTCATATTCATATAGGAGAAATGAAAGTGCTTTATATGTATGCCATTGGACTTGAGGAATATGATATATATACATTTCTGAATGTTTGTGTTAGCCTTTTTTAAACTTGATTTCTCCAGACTGCTATTTCACCAGGGTTGCTGTGAAACTTATCCAATATTTGAATAAACTAGGGTAGCGCTTTGTGACCTTCTCGTATTTATGTTTTACCGATCGGATACAAGAAATCGTTTCGCCAGTGTGAAGATTCTGTATCTATTTTAGGATGTTGAAGAAATCCTCGCTCATCTTAACAGGCCCCAAATGGTTTATTCTATTCATGCTCCCATTTGTTTTGAATTGTGAAAATAAACATGTACCAGTGTCAACTTTTCAATGTAGTTCAGTTTTTCTGAAGCGAGATTGTTTTCAATCGTATGTCGAGCTTTGCTGCACTAGGAGAACGCGTAAATCCTTTCGTTGCAAATTCAATTCCGTTAAAAAATCCAAAACATGGAGCTAAGACAAATTCTTACTTCCCGCATGAATAGAAATAGATACGAAATCGATTTGTAAATTCATCTTTAATTACTTCTATTTTCAGATGTTCCTGGAAGAACGTTTTGTAATGATTTTTGAAATGCATTGTAAATGTATATGTCTATCACGGATGACATTCAAATTGTGAACTAAAATTAAAATCAAAATGGTTTGAATTTGCAAAAGAATTATGATATGTCTTGTCATTAACATCAGAAACGTGATACAGTGTGCTAATGATGTGGAGTCATGTTGTGGCGATTGGAAGGATGATTGAGAAAGGTTGTAAGACATTTGCTTCCAAGACAATTGCTCAGTCTCAAATTCTTACAATAACCAACCCTCGACTCAAGACTATACCTAACCCTAACACTGGTTTAAATATTCACTCCTGAATTATAAATGCCTATAAACCTTAACAAAAAAGAAAAAAAACCTAACCTAAAACCCAACCTTAACCCCAAATGTTTATGACAAAAGAAAGCCGAGAGCAATTGTTGCAGGACCCAATGTCGAGTTGCCAATTGACAAAGGTGATTGTGTGAATGTACAGTGTGTATGAAAATTATTAATGGGAATGTGAGTGGACTTTTCAAAGCCAAGACCAGGCTGGGAATAACTATGGGAAGGATAGGGAGGTAGGGAGTGACATTCTTTCGTTGTGTACCTCTCATCCTTATTTTTTGTTTCCTCCATTTGCTTCACTAGATCCCATCTTATTAAAGATAAACTTGAGTTCTGGTAAAAAAAAGAAAATGAATTCTCACAGAATCAAACGAAACTTACACTGAATGTTCAAGATTACAAGTAAATGACATGTGCCAAACAATTTTGGAAGAAAATGTATACTGGCTGAGTAATGAACATAGAAAGACATGGAAATCAAGGTAGTACTAGCCCCGGCACCATGTGTGTTGTCCCATATATAGCTTTCTGTGTACAGTGCTTGTTACTTTACCAAGACTCGGTCAAATTTATTATGATTTTGATGACTCCAGAATCTTGCAGTGCACACCAATACTTACATGCTACATGATCAACTGTTTCTGATCTTTTCCACACCTTTTCTTTCACAATGCAATCCATCAACATAGTTTATCTTTAATAGGGAAGAAAATGTAAATTTGGCTTGGATGGAAAGTTAAGGAACTTTGGACAGGGGATAATGTATTTTTTTAATTTCTCAATATTTTCAAAAATGAAGAGCTTGCCAAAATACTACCTTAATTGTCTCGCTTTCACTTTGAATTTTTCATATGACATGTACACAGATGATGCCCAAAGTTTATCATAACCTAAAATGTTAGTGTTCTTTGCCAATGGGACGTTTCCTTTACGAACAGTAATTTCAACCGTTCACAATTCCAGATCTTTTAATCTATCCAAACGTTTACAAGCTTTCATTTCTTTCTATGCTTATTCTTTTTTCTATTCTGGTCCACTTCTATAAAGTACCAGTTTTCATTCTCTCCATTATTCCGTGTACCCCATCTCTATTCTTCTGCTTATCTTTCATTTCTTCACATAAATGTATTCCTTGTCATTTTATCTTTCTCTTTTACTTCATTAATTTCAAATCTCCTCATGCTCTTACTTTCTACCATAATACCATCATTCTCTCTTAGTCTCTTTCACACTTGGTCCATTTCTTAATCTTATTTTTATTTTCATGCTTGCTCTAATTTCATCTTCCAGTTTCCACCACTCTTCGTTAGCATGACGCAGGCACTCACTCACTCTCTCTCTCTTTCTCCACACACACACACACACACACACACACATCCTTTCAGATGATCAAGAATCTTTCATCTAAAAAAATGCAACTGCAAATATAATGTCCTTTTTAGAATTAATTTTTTTTTTACAACAAATAGATGATTAATATATTTGTTTTTCTCTTTTATTGTGCTACATGATTACCATGACCTTGGTAAATAATCTAAAATACTAAATGTAATGGTCGGTTAAAGAGACATATTTAATATATGGTATCTTCATAAGTCACAAGACTTGCAATCATAAAAAGGACCAGATTTTCCTATATAACATATAAAGAGCAGAGATGATGCTTCATGTAATTCAAGAGAAAAAATAAAAAATCAGTCAAAAATGGGTGTCAGGTCTACAAAGTTCCATTTCTACGATCATTGTATGACATCTCCTTTGCAAAACTGCAGTCCCAGGGGAATACATAAAAAAAATACTCTTGTGCCAAATGTTTCATCATTATTACAAGATGCAAATAAATGAGCATTAGATTATTTTTTTAGAGAGTGAGTTAATGTGGTATAGAGCTATTTAAAATCTCTCCTTAAAATCTCTCCTTTAAGAAGAATAATTTATGGGATTGTAACCCTCTTGAGTGCAAAATCTTGAACCGTGCATTATCAAATACTACAACCTTTAGCTTTGATTTTGGTGTGATAATGTGTGGGCTCTACCCAATAATATGACTTTTCTGGCATGTACTACAGGCCAGATAATAACATGATGATAAAGTACCCTACACTATACTAATGGGGAGTACAGCTGGTTAAATTGGGCAATTTTTCCATTAAAATAATACAGGAAACACTTCAAGAAGGAATACCATCTTGTATTTAATTTCTCCATATCAACTTTTTGCATTTATGACATAAATCCAGGACATATTATTACTATACTACACAGAGGGAGTGAATTGTTTGTCACAACGACTGCTTGTTTTCACTGGATAATCCACTTCAGGCTGTGTCATCGGGAAATCCTCCAGGAAACAACTTCATGATTCAGCAACCAAACAACCTTCTCCTCTGTGTATAACGCATCATAGACTACAGGAAGATGCTGCAAACACACGTCCTCTCAATACCCCATCGTTATCAAAAGCCAAAATGGGTATTGACTTTATGTATGCTCTTTCTGACTATGAAGTTCAAAGGTTAACTCTAACCAGCAGGAAAGTATCTCCAAAGAATATCCACAAAATATCTGCCTCTAGTTTACCCTTATTAAGACCACACGTCACGATTGATAGCAACGTCTTTATATGCATGCTGTTTTTGCTCGCGGCAGTGAAAGGGTTAGCTCCTCAAATCGGCAACCTCAGAAGGCCTTCCCCGATCGTTTCCTTCCTGTGTACTTGGAGTCTGGTCTCACCTCCCTGCAAAGATTATATCAAGAAGAAAGGAACCTTGTGAGAAAAGTGACTGGTGATGACAAATAGGGATCAACAAAGAAACTTAAAGAGAGGGTTGAGTTCTGGGAAGAGGTGAAAAATAATTTGTGAGCGTTATCATTGGTTTATGCAAGTATGGAAGAACATCAGATAAAAGATGTTCCCTGAAAAGCATGGCTATTCAAATGCCTTAATATTCTAAATATGGCATGTAGCATCATAAAAATCAGGACAGATTTTTATGCCACATGTTTGTGTATACCCATAAACATCTTTCTGTGTACAGTGTTTGTAACTTTACCAAGACTGGGCCAAATTTCTTATCATTTTGATGATTCCAAAACCTAGCAGTACACACCAATACTTATATGCTAGATGATCAACCTTTTCTGATCGATTCCACACCGTTTCTTTCACAATGCAATCGCATGACCAGAACTCAACTTTATCTTTAAAGGGATGACTAAACTTCTTGTAAAGAAGCTTCATAAAAACAGCTTGTCATGATGAATGTGGTAACGGGTACAACAGAAAACAAGTATTATTTCACAGAAATTTATTTGAAACACTGGTACACAAATTATTTTCAGTGCTGTCGTGAAGGAATATATTTATCTCATGACATAACAAATGTTCATGTACAAATTTTAGACTTATATTGCTATTTGTATACTATTAATTTTTTTGAAATATCAATAATTTCAAGTACACTTTATCATTAGCTTTACATTAAATCCTTTTTTTACAACTTCATTTTTATCTCCCAGGCCATTCTTGAGTCAACTCATCATCCTGGGCCATATTTGAATGTCTACCTCTCATTGTGGTATAATTCACATGGAATGTGATCCAAGACTGTCAACAATGATTAAGACATAAATATTTAATATCATTCATTAATTGGGCATTGAATATTAGCCACTCATGAAGGAGCTTAGCTAAGAAAGTTTCAGTGCTTGAGTAGTGTCTCATTTTAGAGACAATTGACTCACCCTTTTCCTTGTCTTCTCCTTCTTTCTTTCTTCTCCTTGATCCACTCTCTGCTCTTCTTCACGCTCTTTCCCTTCATGTTTCTATATCTCATCCTGGAATCTGTGAAGGAAGCCTGTGTAGCTACACCTCTCTGGTTACCAGTACCAAGAGCCTTCATAGGAAGAAACAAAAGAGACAGAAATGCATTACAAAAGTAAATGAATGGTTAAATTTTGTACAATGGCAGTAAAGCATGGGTTAAGTCGTTGATTGTCCACTGGTTTCTTCCCCCCCCCCCCCAAACAAAAAATAGTCTTCATTAATAATTCATGACAGTTTCATGTGGCCATTATTTCTAGTTTTACAGCAGAAAGGTATCGATGTTGCCAATTTAAAGCATGAAAATTGTATTTATTAAGCCATTATCATTTATAGGAGGTATACTGCTTGTCTTAGTCTAATGTTATACGTACCTTGGGTAGCGTTGGATTTGAAACTCCAGCAAACAAACATAAAAACATTCTGAAAGAAAAGAAGAAAGACAGTGAACATTAAATGAGATGAATACTTCTGTGTGGACTAGCAGAGAAATTGGTCAAAGGAATAAATTATGATTAATCATAATAACAAATTAAATGAGAAATACTTTTGTTTGATTCAGACTTTGTTTGCTGATCTCTTTTGTTGCCACCTTGCCAATACAGTATGAATGCATTTATCTTTGCACATATCATCACCTTTTGAAAATGGTGAATCAAGATATTATACAAATATACCAAGCTGTGAGAAAGAATAGTGGAAATTACTTATCTGAGGAGGGACTGGCAAAGTACTATTTAAAATAGTACTATTACAGTCCCTCTGAAGATATATAATTTCCACTATTCTTACGAACTAAATGCTTGGTATATTTGTTTTATATCACTTTGTTACGATTCGAACGTTTGACTTAATGATGGGCTGGCATTTGTTTTTTAACTTTATTTTTATGTCACCCACATTGGGCCAGGTATTGGAGAAGTTTACAAACTGTTTGAATTTATCAATTTAACCTACGCACAATTATATTAACGCGCATTTAATGAGACGCGCTAATTGCGCATTATTTTTGACTGAACATGATTATGATGTCACAATGCTTTTCTTCCTCAAAAATCTCATAGTGAAAAAATAGTGGAAAATATTCGGAGCTCTGGCAGAGATTGTTTCAAATAGTGAAATTATATTTTATCACGTGACCATCAATTGACCAATCATGTATTTAGAAAACTCATGAATATTCATAGAAGGGATATAAATGGATATATTGGATATATAGTATACGAATAGAAATACATGTATTTACTTCAGCGGTTCAGCCCACTTATCAAAGGAACATTTTTCACTAAAACCATAAGAATATAATCACTTCTTTGCTCTTGTGCTGTTGGGAAAATCTACGACCAGTCCTCCTGTGAAGCCCGCCCTCATTGCCTGCGATGTGATCAGTTCCAGCTGACTGGGGTTCTCGGGGTAAAATTGGAAGACTGCTTTGCTACCTCTCCTCTGAAAAACAAGTCAAGAAATAATGTTAGTAAGCCTTGGACTACTGAATTCTCTCAACCCCATAGGCGTCATACAGGAGCAACCTGGTTCCTGCAGGCAATGGGTTAAGAACATCTGAATTCAAAACCATTATATTCTGCCTATTTAAAGGGATTCATGATAATAATACATGCCCTTGTCCCACTCACCTAAAAAAAAAAAATATCTAAATAATTTTTTGCTCAAAAACCTGAATGAAATATTTACAGATGATTGTTGAACTTGCAATAATCGGTAACAAAGATATAGGAGAGGGTCCGCTTAGAATATGTATAAGCTTGCCTTTAACATGAGGGAGGGGGGGGGGTGTCATGCCTCTTGTGCCATCTTTCTCCAAGATCTATCAAATTGCCATACCGTGTGCAGGCTTGATGATGCAGACACAGATACAGATTTGCCAACTGGGGCAAACTAAAGACATTCCAGTGAACTATGAGTAAGTAGTGATAAAACAAAAAATAATATTCTTTTATTTTAAATTGGTTTGTGATAGGATCTGAAATAATGTAAATTATGCCTGTTTTCTTACCAGTGCTCCATAGAGGGTACAGAAAAACTTGTATAACCTCTTGGGTGGATGATGTGATTTCTTGTCTGCATTACAAAGCCACTGAAGAGCTGATATACTAGAGGTAGAGGGTAGAGGGTAGAGTCAACGAATGTTAATATTGTAAATGTAGTAGTCCATACTCAGTTAAACAATTTGAGTATGGATTCTTGGAAGCAACATCCTAAATTTTGATCCATTTTTCAAACAAATCTTTTCATGAAATCTAATGTTACGATTTCATAGGACAAAAATCATACAAGTTTCATGATCAAGATATAATACAGTACTGTTTGTGACACATGCCTTGACAGTGCTATCAAACTAAGGGCAGTCATCCTGGAGTGACTCATGCGGAGGTGTCAAAATGAATGGAACCCAAGATTATGGCTAAGAATAGGTTCAACACACATCCTTCCACTAGGTACACATTAAGTCCTCAGCAAAACATGCACAACATGTATTGTTGTAAACAATTATCCATACAATTCAAGCAAAAATTTGAAAAAATTAAATAGATCAAGCTGAATTGTCCACAAAATATGAAAGAAAAGTAAATAGGAAAGGTTGATTATATAGTACATAAAAGTTGTACACTGAGGATTTGGGAAATTTAATGATATACAATTTACTCAGTCTTGCAGAAATCACAAGTGCTGCACACATAAGTGGGTATATGGGACTACACATCAGTGAGAACTAATAGTTTGGGCCTAACTTTTCAGCTTTTACATGCCATATTTCATGCATGAAGGCATTTGAGGAGCAGTCCATTTTGGGGTACATATTCTTTTCCATGATATTCTGACAAGCTGACAATTAAAAAACATTGAGAATGCTTGCAAATAGCATTTCCCTTTTATCAGAACTCAACCTTTTTCTTTAAACTGATTAAGATACTAACCTGATTGCACCATCAAATGTTCCTGGTTTGAAGAACATACCCTGACCCATATCAGCCAAGCAGACATCACCATCAACCTCCCTCTCTATGGCTATATCTGATAGGGAAGATAATGGTTACAATCTGTTTAAACGTTTTCAACAGTGAGTGTAATTGGAAATATACTCAGCTAAGCTACTGGATCATTCATTGATAATCAATGTTCAAATTTCTCAAAGAAAGCTGAGACCATCACAACAGAACAACAAAGTAAATTCAGATAAAATCATAAAATTTCCATATTCTACTATAAACTCTTTTAAACTTGACTCTGGGTCTGAGATCAAGTTCAACAAAGAGAAAATGTAGATCTCAGACTAAATTCCTTTGTTATTAAAACTCAAGTCTGGAGAATACTTTTGAAATGTTAGTAGAATAAAGGCCATAGTGTACAATATTCTGGGGTGTTGGTTGGTCCCTTGTAAGATTATCACACCTACCTAACATGCTTGAACTGATGTCCATACCAACCCAGTGGTGACCCTGCTCTGTCAGGGCCTCACCACTTAAACCGGAACCGCATCTAGACAGGAGGACAAAAGATCACAAGAAAAAAAATTATTTGAAGAAGTATAGGATCTTTTTATAATGGAATGTGAATTTTACATTTTTGAGTTTATGATTAGGTCACTAAATATGGGCAAATATTCAATTTAGATTGGATGAAATTTGTACTTTCTCATGTTACTCAGAATCTCTGCTACTTAAACCAGAACCGCATCTAGACAGGGAAAAAAATCACAACAGAAGAAAAAAATTACTTGAGGAAGTATAGAATCTTTTCCTAATGGAATGTGAATTGTACATTCTTGAGTTTGACTTTAACAGTGTATATGATTACCGGTAGGTCACTAAATATGGGCAAATATTCAATTTGGATTGGATACAATTTGTACTTTCTAATGTTACTCAGAAGCACTACAAATACAATACAATACATCAAAAGTAGGGCTTGAATCCAACACTTGGTTTATTATGTACTACAGGTAGTTTGAACTTGCCCTTTGTCAGGTTTAGTATCTCATGGGCCAAGGTCAACTTCTACTTGGGCAAAAACTGTGGAACTTACCCAATATCCAAAATAAAGGATGGTGTGTCTTCAGGAAGAGCCAAGAGTTCTATTGCTCTCTCAGACATGGTCATCTGAATCTCTATCATTCTGGTACTAAATTCAAACAAAGTAATTTAAAAGGATAAATGTAAAGATTCATATGCAATACATATAGAGACATGTCAAAAATAAAGACAAAACACCAAAAAGGTTTCAGCTCGCAATTCAAATCAATTTAATTCACTTTATTTGGCAAAAGATAAAAAATAAAAATGAAATCATGACAAATACTGGGATTGCTAAAATAAGTTCAAAACTTGTAAACAAGCAACCCCTAACATAAAAAGATACAGATCAATACAATACAATACGATACCTGGAGTTTGAAGGAAACCATGCACCCCCCCCCAAAAAAAAAAAAAAAAAAAAAAAAAAAACCCACAACATACATTAGAGTTAAATATCTAAAAAAATATAACATCTCTTTGCCTGTATGAGCTTTAATTTTCTGATACATATACGAACATAGGTCCATAACCTTTAATTAACTTAGAAACATTTATAATGAATGTTTGAAAAGTCTCATGTTTAAGTTTCCTTGACAAGTGTCATAAACCCTTTCAGTAATATTTTATTATTTTTTAATATCAAAGGCCAAAAAGTGTAGAGAGGGAAACATCACAGAACATGCAATAATGATAAATTACACAAAGAAATACTGAAGAGTCTACTTACTTGGATGTGTATTTCCTTGCCTCATCATCATTATAAAACTGAAATATAAACAGATAAGATATAATAGTAAAGAATGAAAATAAATGTGACAAGCTTATGGTGTTCTGTGAACTGCTGTCAATCCTTGTTTACTGGATTATACAAGAGATTTGATGGAAAGACTTGGATATTTCAGTCTGAATGACAACTTACCTGGTATTTCCTTGAGTTTACAGATACATGTACACTCTGCGCATGGGCAGATAAAGGTCATTTGTACCAAAATGGTAAAACCCACAGAGATGAATACTGGATATGCGCTCATGAAAGTTATGTAACGTTATTCATTTATGCACCAACGGTACATTCTATGATACGCAGGTGGAGGTATTCTTTTCAAGAGGTCAAACAAAAGGTATTCATGAAGCACATCTAGGACTTTGGCAGTTATTATTCTAAGATGCTCAAAGTGGAACTTCTCCATGTGTAAAAGATCTGTGGATATTTGGGGTCATTTGTACCATGTGCTATTTGTAAACTCCCTTATGCTCCTCAAATGCTCCATAGATGCTGACTAAAAGATTCACAATTCCTATATCCTTATCTTCATTCCTCTCCACCTCCTACTAATTACTAGTACTACTCCTCCTTCTTTTTCTTCTTCTTCTTCTCCTTAGTCCTCCTTCCTATGTCTTCTTCTTAAAGTACTTCTTTTCTCATCACTATCAACATTATGCTACACTCCTACAGTCATGACATATGTATAATTAAATGAATGCAAAATTGTTATAGAATAGGGTAGCGCGCCCTGTATTCGGTCAATTACCAGTATTCAGTCAGACAGCCTAAAACTGAAAACTAATTATGAGGAACGAATCTTGCACAAATCAGACAGCTGAGAAACTCATCCTAACTCTCAAAATTAATCAGGTATAGGTCCCCGGAAAGATCTACAACTTAACTTGAAATTGGTTAGTGTCGCACAAGTTTCTGCACTTCCGGGTTCTGTTAGCACATGCGTTAATATGCCATAGCCATGTGTAGAAGCCTATTGTGAAACAACTACGTGTGCTGGTGCAATGAATTTAGTATGTGTGCGAAGAGTAGCACTTCCGTGTTCGTTCCATCGCAGCGAATTTGCAAATGATGCACCTACCGAAGTGCAAGAGGTATTTATACAATACCCTTGCCATGCGGTAGCGCTCATCCAGTTGTTGTTGTTGTTGGGTTTATCGGCGCTATCCATCGATTCCGATGATTTCCGCCAGGCTGTGTGTGAGGGCGCCTTGCTCTCACTTCTGCTGCTCTACATCTACATCTAAGGTGGTACTGGACAGGACCAATTGGTATATACGTTTCTGTGATTCTGATACTTGCCCGGTGTGTGAGATAAAGATTTACCTTGACCTTTACCAGTATTCGGTCAACGAACTGACATTCAGTGCTTTGTCGCGCAATTGGGTGAAAATAGTGCGCAAATTCGCTTCGCTCCTTGTCAACGGAGATACCACGCACAAATCATGTGACTGAATTCTGGGCAGAAAACTGCTCCTTCTTCTTTTGGAAATATTTTGCTTATCATCATTTTATATTTTAAGTGACTTTAAAATCCTGTTAGAGGACTAATTTTCTTTTCTTTTGATGGGTAGATTGCCAAATAAAGGACAAAGGAGGAAAGAATTCAAAAGAAATTGTGATTTCCATATGTAAAACTAGTGTACACTGGTGTAAGCGACAGAATACCTACCGGGCGCGCTACCCTAGAGTAGACATATACTTATTTATTATTATTGTTAGACTCTAGTCTTGTTTTAGAATTTAGTAGGGTGGCTCCATCAATGTTCTCCGTGGAGGCTCTAGATGCTACAACATAACAGTGATAAATACAAAAATTACAAACGTTACAGACTCTCAATCCACATTCCACAAACATAATTTCGAGTGCATGGGACTGAACATTAATTATCGAACTGAAATTTGTTTCAATTATCATTACTATTTCCGGAGGAGCTGTATGTTCTGGTCTCCGATTTGAAGCCATTGTGAGACGATATTGTCGACGGATATTCTGGAAATTTGGTGACCTTTTCGAAATCAATTTTGACGATAAATACGTCAATTTCCTCAGAAACATGGATCAAGAAACACGTTTCCTCGATTGTTTTTCATAGTCTTCTTCAAGTCGAATTTGAATATATCTAGTAGCTTTGGATCAAACTTTCATTATTCGATCCCGAGATTCGATCATCTATAAGTGTATTCATTGTGAAGTGTGTGCACTCTATTAATCATAATGTTCTCATATTTTTCCATCGAGGTATTGAAAATACAAAGATTATCTTGGATCCAGGGGCGGCGCCAGGTTATTTTGTTAGGGGGGCGAATGGGTGCGCCACGCAGGGGCCAGTGTCTAAGGGGGATTGTGCCTTTAATCAGAATTTGAAGATTTTTTTAAAATTGATGCATAAATGGCTCGCTTTGGCACATACTTTTTGCCAAATTAAAAAGGAAACAGTCTTAAGTTCAACCAACAGGAACAAAAACGAAGTAGGGTGTCTGAGGGGGGATGTGCCCTCCTCAGAAGTTGAAGATTTTTTTTACATTGATGCATAATGGTTCGATTTGCATGGCACATGTACATAGTTTTAGCCAAATTAAAAAGAAAACAGTCTTAAGTTCAACTAACATAAACAAAAACGGAGGGGGGTGTGGGAGTGTGTACCCCTCAGAAGTTGATTTTTCTTAAATTGATGCATGAATGGCTCGATTTGGTGCACACTTTTTCTAAATTAAAAAGAAAAACTTTGCCGTCTTAAGTTCAACTATAAGAACAAGAACGCAGAAGGGGGGGGGGGTGTCACCAATTTTTTCAGAAGGGTTGTTATAGATGAATTTGTCGTCTCCATTGAACAATCAGCCATAAGGTTTAGGAGATACAAGGGATTAATTTGATTTTTTTTTTACAGTTAGCGAAAGGTTTTTCATCGTAAACCAATGTTTGAACCAAGTTCCGGTAATGTGAATGTAATAATGACGCGTCTAAACCTGATCGCCTGATTTGGCTTGCTTTTTCTCTATTTTTCTTGATTTTCTCAATCTTTATTTTCCCTTCTACCCCCCCCCCCCCCCGCCCGCCCTTATCATAATTTACATTTTATAGTTCTCTTTCTCCTGGCATTCCTCCTTCTCGCCTCCCCTTCCTTTTCTTTTCTTCTCCTTCTTTTCGTTTTTTTCTCCTTCTCCTTTTCCTCTTTTCCCCTTCCTCTTCCCTTTTTTTTCAAAATGATAGGGGGCGGCCGCCCCCCCTGCTTGGATCTTGCGGTTATCTTCATCACCTCGAAGCAGCACTTACACTCTCGCGTAGCTAAGATTTTATTAAAAGGGGAGGGGCTGTAATTATATTTAAACGTCTTTGGGCTGTAGTGAGCACGCACGCGAAGCGTGTGAATCACTTACAGAGCGCGCGAAGCGAGCTCCCTAGTAGGTGGTGGGGGGGGGGGGGGGGGGGGGGGGACTTTGACGTTTCTTTAAATTCTTTAAATTATTAGAGAAAGAAGACGATTCGTTGTACCGTTCTCGACTCTTAATCCTTGTCTGAATTCAGTTTTTCCCCTCCCGCGCGAAGAGCGGAAGCTTTGACGTTTCATTAAATTAATATAGAAAGAAGGCGATTCGTTGTTCCGTTCTTTACTCTCAATCCTTGTCTGAATTCAGTTTCATTAAATTATTAGAGATAGGAGACGATTCGTTGTACCGTTTTAGACTGTTAATCCTTGTCTTGAGTTTTCAAAAATGTTTCTTTGTTCGCTCCTGTTTTTTCCGACGTACTACTTTTTTCTCCTCTCTCTCTCTCTTTGGCCGGGGGGGGGGGGGGGTGGGGGAACTTCCCCCACCGCCCCGACTAGCGCCTTTACTTACACTGGCAGAAGAATATAATGTTAAATTACCGTATCCTTAAGTGTCGACATTGCTGACATTAGGTTTATTTGACCTGCAAATGGGACATAACTACCATTATAAGTATTATTTTATCAACTAAATTAACAACAACAACAAAACAACAGCAGCAGCAACAACTGTGTAGAAGATAATTATATTCGGCCGAATTCCCAGTAGAGGGGGTAACCACCAGTCAAATATAATGTATATATATTTCAGACGTTTTCTCTCCCAAAAGTTGCATATAAACATATTTAGGCCTTTTTCACTTTCACCAGAAAATGTGAAGGAACGAAATGTTAATTGCTTGCATTACAACAGGGGTCGACCCCATGGCAAGGATCCCCCCGGGGGAGGGGGATATAGAGAAAGTAGAGGGACACCAGCAACAAGGGCACTTCTTGGGGGCGGCACCCACAAAGGGGAAAAGACCTCAAAGCGAAAATAATACGCCCCGGGTAATAAGCCCGGCATTTTTAGACTTTGGTCACTATCCCTACATTGTGATTACATTATCAAGGATGATTTCAATACTTTATTTTTCTCTTAACATAGTCCTTTGCAGGTGGGTGTGATGGTCTGTAAAATTGTTCGGAGTTGTAGGCTAACTACGGCAGTGGCGGATCCAGGGGGGGGGGGGCCAGGGGGCCGGCCCCCCCCCCTTGAGAAAAAAATCATGTAAAAGCACGTGATTTTTAACTTTTTGGGGGCTTTTTTTAGCGCTCAAGGGGGGGGGGGGGTACAAATTTTAAATTATCGAGGACAAAAAAAAAAAAAAAAATGTGCTCACTACCCCCCCCCCCCCCCCCCCCCCCCCAACTGAGCGACTATTCGACCGGCGCGATTTTCAAATTTTCGGGGGCAAAAATTTGAAAAAAAAGTTGGGCCTGCTCCCCTAAGAAATCCTGGATCCGCGCCTGAACTACGGGTCCGGCTGGCGCAGTTCGAAAAATTACATGAGGGAGTTTGAAGCACCGTGATGCAATCTAATATTGAAAAGACCTTGGATAAGAAATATAATTATATAACTGATGCAAGCGAGCTTTGGGTAAAAATAAATAAATGGGTATTAATAGACCTACATGTTATGATGAAAGGAATAGGGGCACTTAATATTCAAAGTAAAAGGGTCACTTATCTGAAGTAAAAGGGGGGGGGGCACTTTTCTTATGTAAAAGATTAAGTGGCACTTTCGGAGTATTTGGAAAAGTGGAGAAGGGGCACGATGCCGCCTCGATCTGCGCCCCCCCCCCCCCCCCACCCTCCGGGAGATTGAGTGCGGAAACAAGTATCCGGCCCACAGTTATAAATACATTTACAAATTATATATTTGATTCTTCTCCTTTTTATCACTTTTCTTACGGATGGCTGTTTCAGTTCAACCACTGTATTCGCCCTATAAGCCTAGATTAGATAAATAAGAACCCCCCCCCCCCTCCCCTAAGCTTATTGACACAGCTCAGTGCTCTATCTCGATCGGCGCGCCGAGTGCGTACGGTACGGCCGTGGCAGCAGGTGCTGCGCTAGCGCCTGACCCTATATCAGTGCAGATCGATCAGTGGTGCAGCAGACGTTCGTACGTGGAGGGTATTCGCGCGTTTTTAACGCGAAACTGCACTCCTAGTGCATTGATCATGTTGATATTCTCACATGTGGCTGAACTTCATGTTTTTGCTTGAGACTATACCATACACTTTACTTCATTTATTCGTAATACACCACGGCCATCCATGTAGGACATCTGTACTACCACATCTAATAATTAGGTAAGAAACAGCGTTTTAATCGTCATTTTGTGTGTGTTTGTATAGGATTTGCGTGACTTGCTCATCATTCACAGTACATTAGGTGCATTACAATCCTGACTGTGTATTAAAACTAAAAGCTGTGCTTTTGATTCTCAACATTTCAAACACCACTGTATAAAACTCAACTTATTTCACTAAAAATCGATATTTTAGTGACGATTGATGACATCTAAATAGCAGTAAAGTTTAAAAAAAAAAAATCAACTTTCCGATATTAGAAAGAATAATTTAAAAATTCAAATTGTGAGTCTAGTCTACTGTCCAACTTGCCGATCAGCCGCATCGGTATGATGGTGTGCATCTGTGTGTTATGAGTGTATTGACTTTTCATGTATTTAAATGCTGCCTATTAACACGCAGTGCAGTGTTAGAGGTCAATACGCATTAGCATTGAGTCTTCTTCAAGTTAAGTGCCGCTTCATGGTGATGAAGATAATGTTAATCTCTATGCGTTTTTGCTGGATTGTCATCATTCATAAATCATAGCAGCTTACTGCTTAGTTGCTGTCTAACTCTAAATCTAATGACAATAATGTTTTTATGTGTGTGTGTGTGTGGGGGGGGGGGGGGTAGTGAGACACTTCAATTTTTTTTCTACACCCCACCCCCCCCCCCCTTTCGGCTTTCTGTGTTTAGCCAAATAAAAATTGCATACGATCTCCCTCGAAGCAGTTCCCCAAAGTTGACACTTATCCTTATCTTAATTTCTAGAGAGTAAGACTGTAGCTGTGCCAAAAATCTCCTGCACTACCAATTTTTTTTTCTTACTCAACACCCCCCCCCCCTTCCCTGTTGAGCCAAATAAAAATTGCATACGATCTCCCTCGAAGCAGTTCCCCAAAGTTGACACCCCTGTATTTTATTTTTAGTGATATGGTCCACCTACATGTATTTATGCATAAAAAAGTAAACACTATAAATAAGAAAAGTATCTATGTTTTTTGTCTTCAAATGCCATCTTTCAATTTCATGTCAAAAATCCCCTGCCTTAATTGGCTTTACTTGTGCCTTGTGGAAATGACATACATAGCTATTGTTCTTGATCGTATTAAGAATAAGAATAAATGAGATGAGATCAGACATAAACATAGTGAATATTATAGAAAATCCTCATCAATTTCAAGTGAAAATGTTAAGTGCGCAGAGTCCTTACTTTTATTGAGATTTTACAGGAGACAACTAACTTCACATTTACGACTTATAAATCTAGTTTTTTCTTCCTGTGTGAGACATTTTAGATTGTTACTCCAATTTGTTTGGTCTTTTTATTTTTGTTTGTTTGCAGAAGATTGGAATAATGATGAAGGAACCAAACTGAGTCAATCATCTTCACTTCTCAGAAATTAACATTTAACCGTACTTTCATGATGGCAGAAAGGCTAATGGAGAAAAATTTCCATCAAGATGACAACATCTTGCAGACGTCCGAAGAAGAAGAATCTGACGATACCAGTGCATGGGACAGTGACCCTGTGACCCAGAGGTCAAAGAGACAGTATCATCCAGTCAGAGGTCATTCAGTCAGAGGTCATCCGGTCAAAGGTCAACCAGGAGGTGCCAATCAGTCTGATGGGAGCGAGGGGGAACCAGAGGCTGATTCGAACAGGGATGGTGAAGCCCTGAATGACGAGATGCTCAGAGGTGCTACGGATGAGAAAGATGAGGTGGAGACGGGAAGTGAAAGGAGGACAGAAGAGAAGAGTGTTTTGAATGGCGGTGAACTTCAAGCTCGGATGAATGGAAGTGGACATCAACAGAGAAAATACAGTGATAGTAGAGATGATGATTATGATGAAGAGGAGGAGGAGGAGGAGGATGTTGATGGAAGCACAGAAACAGATGAAGATGGAGAGAAATACTTGGGGACGGCATCTTCAAATCTTTACCAGCGAAGAGAGGAGCAGTATATGATTGAAAGCTGGAGGAATCAAGGGATGAAGGAAAACCGAATGGAAGAGGAAGAAGAAGACATCGAGGAGATAAATCTTAGCAGAGAAAGGTAAATTTGCTTCCTTGTTAAATACAGGATGTCATTGTCAGTATAGTGAAAATAATTTTGAGCTCTTGGCCCTACATGTACATGTATATTAAACACAAAGCTTAGCAATATTACTTCATGTTCAGTTGCAAAATAGCAATCAATTACTATTTTTTCTTTGTGTTACGGGCCCCAGGTAATAATTTATCTGTCTTTGAGAAAATAACAGATCTATTCACTTTATCATGTATTTAATTACGATACTGCATTTTAATTTCCTTATTTTTCTTTGCTCATTACTCAGCCTTTATATGTTTTTTTTTTTTTTTTAAATTTATTCAAGAGTTCATTGTTGTGGCTAGGCTTTAAACATTTGTGTGTATCTGTCTTCTTTGAGGATTTTTAGACCAGTTATTTATCATGACCCCAAATCAGGCATACTTGCAGGAGCAAATCCTATTGAAAGAGAGAACACTATGAACAGGACAGACAAAGAAAGCGGACAAAATATTTAGTTCCTCATTCTACCCTCAACAATTGCTATTGTAGACAAAGGAACAGCCCTCCACTGCTATTATGTAAAAATCTGTAGAACAGGTGTCACATTCATATTCCCCTGTTCCTTTGTCTACCATAGCAATTGTTGAGGGTAGAATGAGGAACTGTATATTTTGTTTGCTTTCTTTGTTCGTCGTGTTTATAGTGGAAATAACCAAAATCAACACGACATTCCCCCCCGTCGCCGGCTCCCCCCCCCCCCCCCCCCCCCCCCCGCTGAAATATGCCACTTTCATTCTGTAATAGAATAAGTGCATTTTGCTTTGTGAAGTGCCTTGTACAAATTCTTCCATTCACCTGTTACAAATAATTTACTGTCTTTCAATATCTGGAATGCAAATTGCATACAGTACATTACAGTATGTGTTGTTAGGTACATGTAGGAAAAAAGCTGTATCTGTCAGACCTTGCAACAAATAATGTATGCAATATCTATTGAGAGATGAATGTATTAAACAGTATGGCTAGTTAAAAGACAGAGGTGTATAAATTTGATTGTATTTTGAAAATAGGTCCTTCCAGATGCCATCCATTCCAGATGCCATCCATCATGATCCATGGAAGTGCAATCATGGATGAAAAGGGAAATCAATGGTTTTTTCACCAGGGATTCTAGGTAGAAATATGCTACATTTGTATGCACCTGTTACTCTGTTAGATTTTACACAAGTTGTAAAATATTTATGAAGATTGCCTTTATTTCTGGGCAATTGTGGAGGGTGGTAAACATAACATCAACAATCCTAGTTGCAAATTGGTTTGAGGTGGTAATGATAACAACACTGCAAGGAAATTTATAGAACTTGTGTTCTGAGTCGCACAAGGAAAAATAGAGATGAAATTAGAGAACACGTTAGTACCATATTCTCATGTCAAGTATTCCTATGATTGCTAAAATATAGTTTTTTAAATAATTGTTTAATTTTTTTTTTAAAAAGCTGTTCATAATGCACTTATACATGTAATACAAGTAGTAGACGTAGTACCCCATAAAAGTATTTTTTGCGCAGAATGTACAAAATAGCTGTTGAGTCTCGAGTTTTTGTTGTTTTCACCAGCCAATTCCAGCAGTCTAGGGCGATGTACCTGCCCTCCTTCGGCTTCCTGGGACCCACCTCCCATGGTCCCACGTCACTCAATGCCGTCATGGGAGATCTCTTCGGCGGAGCACCCAGTCTGGACATCAACGAACCTGATTCAGGGAGCGACTTCGCTGCTGGGAAAGAGAGCTTGCAGGACATGGAGGAAGGACTCACTGATGATGATCATGGAAGTCAAGCAAGCAGAGAAGGTAATTGTCATGATACGTTGGGGCCATGATGCCTCCAAACCCACTCCAGCAAAGCATAGGGAGTTAATGCGTATTGACCTCTAGCGCTGCACTACATGCTAAAAGGCAGCAATTGCACCAATGAATAGTCAATACACAAATAACACACAAATGCACACGATGATGCCGATGTGGCTGTAAGCAGGGAATAATTTTCCTGGTATCGCATCGCAATTTGCTATGCATTTTTGCATGACTGCTATACAAAATATCTTTTGTGTAGCAGTTTTCTTCCATAGAAATGTACAGAATTTCATTTGAAATATTTATCCATCGGCTGAAATTGCTAATCAAAAAATTTGAGGAAAATTATTCCCTGCTGTAAGCAAGCTTGACAGACTCACAATTTTAATTTTTAAATTATTCTTTCTAACATTGGTGAGTTGAAAAAATAGTTTTTACTGCTATTTAGGTGTCATCAATTGTCACTAAAGTACAGATTTTGAGTGAAATCAGTCAAGTTTTGTACAGTGGTGTTTGAAATGTTGAGAATCAATAGAACAGGTTTAATATACAGCCAGGATAGTAATGCAGCTACATGTACATTGATTGTGTGTCCAAACCCCCATCCCTGGGAAATTCAGCGATACCAACATGTGACAATCTGGAGTATCATAAAGTTTTGTAAATAATAAATTTTCTTTCATTCCGTTATGAGATTATCAGTCGAGTTACTACATGTTCATGTATGCAAATATATATTACATTGATACATTTTACCATCTTTATCACGCTTATCATTTTGATTTTGTTTTTTGTATGTTAAAATCTAAATGTATGTACAAATTTTCATGTTAAGCATAAAGAGAATATAGAGAAAATCAAATCCAACCCTCTTTTCATTTACTTAGTAGTACCAAACTTTCTTAAAATCCCATCATAGTATAGTTCTTTAAGGCCAGAGATCAGGGTTGGCATATTTCCCGCTTCGGAGGCTTATTTCCTGGACGCCGGGAAATAAGCGGTATTTACCGGTATTTACCGCTTTTTACTGGTATTTACCACTTTTTATATTTTTCCACTCACTTGTTCATAGGGATTGTCCAATTTTGAACATAATAACAATGGTGGTGAATATGGTTGCTCTTGTGTGTACTATTTGTGTGTGTGTGTGTGTGTGTGTGTGTTTGTTTGTGTGTTTGTCTATGTCTGTAATTATGTAATACTGGAAAAAAATACAGGAAAAAGATACCAAATATACACCTAATCTAGATATGTTCTTCATTAAAGGGAACCAAAACCTTCATACTAAGTTGCTTTTATTGTGAAGTTTGGGATGTTTGAGTGGAGTCAGTGAGGAGTTGAACGGGATCGGGCGGGGAGTGGGGAAGTTGAGGCTTTTTGGGGTGACTAGTTGCTAGAGGGCGGTATTCAGTTTGATGACGTCATTTGTGGGCGGCTCTCCATGCCTTTTGTACATCAAATTTCACAAGTCTTTCGTTTTTTTCCTATTTATTTGTGTTCTTGATCGGATTTCATAACATGTGAAGTAGAATATCATTTTGCATTCTATCATCTCAATCACAAGAAAGAAGGAAAAACATGAAATTTGATGTACGAGGGGCATGGAGAGTTGTCCACGGGTGATGTCATCGGGTTGAATGTCGCCCTCTAGTGGCGAGTCATTTCAGGGAGCTTTAGCTTCTTTGTTCCTTGCCCGATTTTGTTCAAGTTTTCGCTGATTTTGTTCAAATATCTTCGGCTTTGTAGTGGAAGTGGCTTGTATGAAGGTTTTGGTTCCCAGTTGCTAATTACCATATTCATGAATACCTATTAATTAGCATACCGGTATGCACAAAATGCCATTTGTTTGGGTGTGTACAATTTTGTACGCAGTGAGGATTTTTTAAATCTGTTTGTGTGTTCCTACTATGAGTATTGTGCTGCTAATTATTTCAGAACAATATTTTCAGTTATGAGGCTAAAAACAAGTAAAATTATTAATAAATAGAGAATTAAAATCATATTTCCCGTTTTTTACATATTTACCCGACGTGCATATTATTTACCGGACGATATTTACCGGTATTTACCGCCGGTAATTACCGCCACCGGTATTTACCGCCCAACCCTGCCAGAGATGTATCAAAAAGTCTGCACGGACATGAATAAAGCTGTCGTGCAGGTTAAAAAGAGTCTGCTTCTGTGGCGACAGGAACAGTATTGTGTACTAAGGCTTTTGTGATCCCTTTTAATAATTTACTTTCTGATTTAGCCAAACAAAGAGAAGAGGATGAGAACCTTGCCGAGCTGTTTGCAACTCTGAGACAGCAGCATGAAGAACAGATGCGAGACCAGCAGGATCATCATAGAAAACAGCTTCAATGGCTCAAGGATCAACTCCTCAGTGGAGAAAAGAATGGTGAGAGCATAGAGCTACTAACCTAGGAGTGGAGACTCTGCCCCTAATAATAATAATAATAATAAATTTATATAGCGCAGCTTTTATACAAAATATATTCAGCTGCGCTGGTTAAGAGCTCCTTTTTACTAAATTCTACAAAATAAGATCTCTCAGTTGAACAAATAAGTTTTTAAATTGGATTTGAAAACATTGAGAGATGGAGTGCTCCGTATTTCTATTGGCTTTTCTTATCACTAAGAGTGGGAAGTTGCGGGATTAGGGGCCCAACGAAAAACAAAACGACCTCTTACGCAACGAGGTCACCCTGGTCTCTATCTCCGGACTTTCATGTCCCATGCGCGATGCCGCTCTAAACTGGCCCTCTCTAGGAGGGAACATCGACAGTCCAGTCATAATACATCGGTGGTTCATATAGCTAGCTCTGTACACATGTCGATAGCTTCATCACATGCGACATACACTCTGATGTTGTGATAGTCTAGGAATTCAGCTCTCGATGGGTGCAAAGATCTCGAAAATCAGCCAACAACAAATACTTTTTACCTGATTATTGTCGAAAATTTTCCTTATTTTGTTCCATTTATATTCATATTTCAACGTAATATTAGTTTTAAGACCCTGTCTACCCCGTGTGAAAATCATTTTTTAGGCAGACAAATGAGATTTTCTTATTTATTTTGACTCCACCGATCGTTCCTGTTATTGTGATGACCTATTAAAAACCTTTTAGCATCTGCTGGGTCACTCGTTTTTTATTGTCCCACTAATATATATTGGTGTGTGGTTTCAGTTCCCCTGTGGCATTTTGGCGGTATTATTGTGCGTGTTGGTTGGACGAGTTGAGGAACTAGAGCTGGGATGGCATGAATGAGATGATATGCATATAATTATAAGCGCTAAGCTTGGCGGATAGTTAGGATTATATTTAATGTTATTAAACAATATTATTAAACAATATTAATACAAATCCATAGTGATGTCTAGTGATTGTTTATTGAATTTTGTGGTGATTAATGATGTTGATTATTTGTGTATAAATAATGATAATTGATATTACTGGTAATGTCAGGGAGCACCTCCCTGCATATTATTGATGATAATACCTAGATGTTTACATTTATGTTTTCAATTGAATGGCATTATATGATTGTTATTATTTTTCTCAATATTGGTATTAGTACTGTTTTTTATAATTACTATTATTATCAGTATTGGTACATTGATTATCATGAGTCTATATTAATATATTAATTGTATCCCCCGGCAGTATGCCGGTGGGGTACTTTGGATTCAGCAGCGTTATGCCGCCGCGTCCGCTGCGTCACACACCAGCTTGTCAGCGTTTTCTCCCTGGGTCTCCTTGATGCTATAAAACCTCAGGCAATTTCGTTGGCTGTATTGCTCATGCTCATCCAATTTTTCATGTAGTCTGTTGATTTTCCCCTCAAGTTTGTCAATTTTCCTTTTCTCCAACTTTGTCTCTTCTTCTTTGGACTTCATGTCCATTTTCAGTGCAGCAATCTTCTGAAATAAATGAGGGGTTTGTTATTGTCCATCATAATTATGCAGTATAATGAATTTAAAGTTTTCTTACTGACATGCCAAAAGAGACTAATTTACAAATTCTATGCAAACATTTTAAACAGAAGTTGCTCTTGATAACATGAATTTATCAGAGGCTTGTCCAACAGACATACTGTAACACGCAGGTGGTTTCTCCCTCATAAATTATATGCATATTGGGTGAAATGAATAGAACCTAACCTTGAATGGACCCTTGACCCTGACCCTGAATATCATAGGTCTATTCAGGGTTAGGGTCTATTCATTTCACCTGTTTGCATATCATTTAAACATGGAGAATCCCCACTTTGAGCATTTTAGAATAATCACAGCCAAAGTCATGGAGGTGCTTCATGAATATCTTTTGTTTGCCTTCTTGAAAAGAATACTTCACCTACAGTGTATTATAGAATGTACAGTCAGTTGGTGAATAGTTATTACAGTACTTTCTTGAGCACATTTCCAGTATTTGTCTTGGTGTGTTTTACAATATTGTACAAATATCTTTTATTCTGCCCATGCGCAGATCGTATATACAAATTGACTTATTGCTACTCATGTAAGTTTTATTGTAAGAAATATTTGAATATCTTAGAATTTGATAAGAAATAGTCTAAGAATAGTTCATTCAAATCCACTATCTTCTTATGTACATGTACATTGTAAGTGACTATACTTGTAGTGTTGTTTTCACCTGATACAAATATATGTTTTTCAATACAAATATTTTTTGTAACCATGAGATGGGGTTTGTCAGATAGGTAATTATGCTTAAAATGTGGGTACATTTATAAAATGTTTATAAAGCTGGGCAGGAGGCCATTTTTGTTATGTAATCAGACTTGAAATGCATGTACAATTTGTACATCTTTGTTAAGTGCCTCGATACAAATTCTTCATTCACCTGTTACAAGTAATTTTATTTTAGTAGTCAGAATGTAATTTGTATTTGTTACATGCTTTTAGGTAGGGCAAGTCATTATCACTATGAACATGACTGACAAAGAGAGCGGACAAAATATACAGTTCCTCAGGTAGACAAAGGAACATCCTTCACTGCTATTATGTAAAAACTAGCAGGACCCGTGGAAAATCCACAGGATTCTAGGGGGAGGGCAGGGGAGGGGGGGGGGGGGGTAAATAGAAAGAGGCCTAGACCCTATGTGCTATCGAAAATAAAATTTGATTATTTTTATATAAGGTCTATCTAGGCCTAGAATCTAGACGATTTTTATAACGCTATTTGACCATGAATGGCGCACCGTAATACCCCTTTTAATGCATTGATTTGATGAAGGAACTGTATCATAGTAAAAGTATTCTATCCAGCTGTAGACAATGCCAATCAATGGCTATGTTTTTAAACGACCGTCTGATTTTCTTGTGAAAACTTTACTTTGAAAAATGATTATCGAAATTCAGCATACAACTATACATGGACAGAATAATCACAATCTAAGCTCAGGTTTCATACCTCTATAGTCACGAAACTATATTGAAATAGGGGTAATAAGAGCAATTTCAAAATGTCGAGTCTACTCTATAATAGCTCAGCTCAGCTCACCTCACCTCACACACAGTCACAGTTCCGACAGTGCTCGGCAGCAGTGGCGCACTGCACTGCCCGTGCCTCACGGCAGCTAGCTTGCAACTGAAATGTCAGTTACGATACGATGAATTTCTTGTGAAAACTTTACTTTGAAGAATGATTTTCAAAATTCAGTAACCATGAACAGGATAATACCAAAGTAACCCTGCTTGCATACCTCTATTCATGTAAACTTTATATAAATCACGGCAATCATCATAGAATCAAAGACGAAGCGACTGAGCTGTGCGTGTGACGGTGAGCGTAGAATCATCGCATACATTATACACGTACGTTCGTACACGCAGCAGGTCCGGCTGGCCTACAAAGCATATCATATAAAAAGACGCATAACACGGGTAAGCCCAACCCGTGAGAGCGTGCATTTCTTACATCCCCTCACCCGGGTGAGTCATCTGTTAATGTGTATTTCTCTTACATGCTACAAAGCGTATCCTATAGCAAGAGGCCTAAACTCGGGGTAAGCCACACCCGTTACTACGTGATGTGCTACACCCATTGACAGAAGTGGATTCTCGTCCGCTGTGTTTCTCTTTGTTGATTGCACAGAGGGCGGATGCACGCCTTCCCGACTCGCTCTCACGGGTTCGACGCCTCCTGGCAATCCGCGACGCCCGCCGTGCTTTCGTCCACCCGTCCTCCCCGGAACCTCGAATACCACGTTTAACGGCATGGACGTCGATCGCGGGGTCGACGTGGCACGCGGGCTACGGGAGACAGGCCTCGTGGAATTGTGCCGCCGTCCCCGCGCCACGGCGGAGGCGGACGGGGACGGGGAAAGACGTTTTTGAGGAACCGTTTTGCCCCGTTTCGGACCCCCCGCGGCGATTTTGCGTATTAATAATATACTAGCAGGACCCGTGGAAAATCCACGGGATTCTAGGGGAGGGGGCCAAATAGATAGATAGATAGAGGCCTATGTGCATTCCAAAAAAAAAAATTAGATTATCTTTATATAGAGAATTTTTATAATATATGCTGTTTGACCATGAGTGGCGCATCGTAAAACAAACTATGTCAGATAGGATCTCGATAATTACGATTTATTTGCATTATTATTGTTGTGATTTCAATGTAGTTTCATGAAAAGACTACATTATGCAGAGGCTTGGATTATGATTATGTTGGCATTGCATGTTCACAAAATGTGTATAATTATTTTCAAAGTAAAGATTTTACGCGAAAAATCGGATGGTTTGTGCACAAATTGACTCGACTGTGTGTGGGACTGTGAGCGTAGAATCCAGTGAAAGATTTTTTTTTTTTCGGGGACTCGATCTATATCAAATTTTGGGAAAATTATTGGGGGCTACTTTTTTATCTTTCGGGGGCTCATTTTTCTTGGGCTAATTTTTCATTAATTCATTTAAAGATGCAGTTTGTTTAGTTTAGTAGCGTAGTGTTACGTAAAAAAGGCGTACTTTCTGCGTCAAGTTTCTACGCCGAAAGTGCGCGAATTTTGTTAAACATATTAAATTGTTTGCGTCCATCTTGCATACTTTTTTGCGTCCCTCAGGGTATAGTAACGTAGGCCAGCGTACTCTCAGCTCAGCGTAGTTGGTACGCAACTCTACTATGGACCCCACGCCAACTAGTGATCGACCTGCCAGTGTAACAAATAAGGTATTAAAAATATGCTCATCTGACCGTAATTAAATGCCTAAAACCCCCGAGCTTTCGGGGGTTCAGCCCTTTGTACCCGTGGACACCACGCCTGCACTCAAATCGCTTTGAGTTACCTGACCCCCCCCCCCCCCATACTTTAAAAAATTGATTTGATGCAAGAACTGTATCATACTAAAAGTATTATCATGTTTTTAAACGACCATGACGACCGTCTGATTTTCTTGTGAAAACTTTACTTTGCTTGTGAAAACTTTACTTTGAAAAATGATTATCGAAATTCAGTATACAACTATACATGGCCAGAATAATCACAATCTAAGCCCAGGTTTCATACATCTATTCACGAAACTATATTGAAATCGGGGCAATGATAGCAATTTCAAAGTGTTGTTTAGACTCTCCTCACACCACGGACAGGCCTGGCTACTCCGGTCATCGCTCACACACTCAGGCGCTCCGACAGCACCGCCGACAGCAGCGCTCAGCTGCGGTGGCAATACACTGTGTGGACTCAGGCAGTTTGCAACTGAACTGTCAGTCATGTGAAGGCGTACTATCACATATCTATTTGCGCTATTCTTGTTGTGATTTCGATGTAGTTTTCATGAAAAGACCAATAAAACAGAAGCTTGGACTATGATTATGTTGGCATAGATCACAGAATTTGTATAATTATTTTCAGAGTAAAGATTTTACATGAAAATAGGTCCATGGTTTGCGCCAGTTGTAGCAATCGCCTCGACTCGAATCGACTGTACTGTGTACGTGTGCATGTGTTTGACCTGAGACAGCCTGTTATACACGTACACTATGGGCGCCCGGTCTACAAAGGATATCTTATTGTAAGATGCCTTACTCAGGGAACGTCGCACCTGTTGCAATTAGATTTGCTACACCCGTTGACGCGAGTTGATTCGCCTCCATCGTGTGTCTCTTTGTCTCTCTTTGATTAGACATGCAGAGGGCGGGTGCACGCCTTGCCGACTCGCTCTCGCAGGTTCGTCGCCTACTTGCAATCCACGACGCCCGCCGTGCTCTCGTCCGCCCGTCCTCCCCGGCACCCCGAAACCGCGTTTAACGGCATGGACGTCGATCGCGGGTTCGAGGTGGCACGCGGGTTACGGGAGACAGGCCTCGTGGAATTGTGCCACCGTTCCCGCGCCACGGCGGAGGCGGGCGGGGTAATGTATGCAAAATTCACATTTGATGGTCAAGACAATTATTTGCAGCAGGTGAATTCAGTCATTTGTATCAAGGCAATTCACATCACTTTTGCATTAAATTTGGTTACAGTACGAAAATGCCCTATTGAGGCATTTGCCCTATTGTGGCATTTGCAAACACTATGAATATAACGGACAAAGAAAGCGGACAAAACATACAGTTTCTCATTCTACCCTCCACAATTGCTATGGTAGACAAAGGAACATCCCTTCACTGCTATTATGTAAAAATCTGTAGAACAGGTGTTACATGCATATTCACCTGTCCTACACATTTTTACATAACAGCAGTGAAGGGATGTTCCTTTGTCTACCATATTAATTGTTGAGGGTAGAATGAGGAACTGTATATTTTGTCAGCTTTCTTTGTTTGTCATGTTCATAGTGAAAGGGGCTTCATTATTTTGTTTTATGAATCATCCCACAAACCTTATACAGGCAGCTTCCAAAATGGTGCTTTGAACCATGAACCTGCTACATCTTGTGTCCGACCACATGTCCAGGGCGCTAGCACAGAGGAAGGGGATAGTGGTGAAGCTCATTCTCAAGAAATAGACACAATGCGTACATCTGGTATGTACAGTTTTCTGTAATAGATCTGAATTCACAATAATGACAAATAGAATTGTATCAGCCTAGTTGTTGTATTGGTTCTTTAAAGACCCGTTGAAGGATATTTTTATTTTCACTAGTTGATTATGTAGAGAATTTAGCACTACATTTACAATCGGACATACATGTAGTCACACTATGATTGTTCCTTCCTAGAATACCTTATTTATGACATAATGGCAGTAATGTCTGTTGACTGACTAGGGTCTTGAAGAGCCTTATGTTGGGAAAGATGTGAATAGCATTCAAGTACATTGGTACACTGCTCTATTGCAATCTGAGTTCAAGTGCTGTCCTACTGTTATGCTGATGGAAGCCAGTAAGAAATGACTCAGCAAAAAAAATGCTTGCTACATTAATTGATGATGCAGGGAGGTTTTCTACTAGTCAACTGGACATGTTTTTATAAATGTGTGATCTGTAACAATTTACAATTGACGAAAGCTACTCAAATCACTCCATTTAATTGACAAAAAGTCTGTATGGCAGGTGTTATTTCTCATGGGTTTTCTGAAGCCAACCCTTGTCTATTATGTACATAACTCCATGTAACATGTGCGATTTATGAAAAGTGAACCAGTACATTTTATTTGTATGACAATGATTGTTTTAATTTCAAGTAGGCCAGGTGAACATGGAAGAGGTGCCACTCCTTGACCAGTTGGACGACACCTCTGAGACGTCCACCTATGTGTCCGGCTCACTGGACAACACCCAGATGACCACATGGTCAGATGTCCATGATCAGAAGCAGGGCCAGTCGGGTGAGGGCCAGAGGAACCCACATCAACAAGGTAAGGGCTTCTGTGAAAGAGTGGTTCATTTACTTAGACATGCAAAGACAAGGTTGTGGGTTCAAATCCCAAGTTCAATGATCATGTCCTTGATGCAAGTACGTAATGTTGCTGATGTAGGGGAAGGGCAGGGGAATCTACAGCAGGCAAGTCCATTCAGCAGGTCCATTCACTAAGGCACCTATTCACAAGCATGTGTAATCAAATCCCAACTTGAGGGCCTAGTAAGTTTAGAGGGTTTAAGGTAGGAGCTGAGGAACCCTGATCAACCAGGTAATGTGTACTGTGGAAGAGTGGTTTATCCACTTACACTGTAGATGCTCATTTACGAGATCGTGGGTTCTAATCATGGTTCAGTGATAATATCTGTGAGGGTTTTCTGCCTTACAAGTAGGTAGCAAATTCTGAAATCATGGGGCCAACCTGAACTAGCTTGTTTTTTTTTTAGTATTTATCTGTTTTTAAAATAGAGTTTGATTTTTTTTTTGGCTTAGGAAAGGCCAACTATTTTCTAGTAAATGATCATTTGCGATATCATCTTTAGTGATATAAGAAATAATGGGTTCAACTATTAACATCTCAATTATGATCTATTACGAAATTGCCTCTTATCAAACATATAAAAATTATCTTTCCTCTCCCATTCCTTTTCCCCACCCTTTTTGTTTTGTTATTGTAGTTGCTCTTGTTGTATTGTTAGTTACTTACTTCATGTTTTTGTTAAATTTGACTTTCATGTATAAACTTACGGGATTGACCTTAGAAAGGCTGTAGGTCCATTGTTGATCCCACCATTATCTGTTATGTTATATTTATGGTGTATTCTTGTTTGTCTTTTGATTGCTTTGTATTTTTATCAGATTGTGGAAATGAACTTGAATTGACTTGAATTACATTTTTAAGCAGCTACTGCAACCGAGGCAGCCATTCTGCAGCAGATGCAGCGCAACTTTGAGTTGGAGCAAGCCGCCCTTCAGCAGGAGTACCAGACCCAGGTCAACAAGTTACAGGAAGAGTGGTTGAGCCAGCAACAGCTGCAGACACACCAGAGGCATCTTGTGGAGGATATGTTGCAACAGCAAGAGAAGAGGCTGGAACAGATGACACCATCTCAGAAAGGTATGTGGTGTTGCCTGTCTTTGGCAGCTCTGGCTGTTCAGGGGATTTTGTATTTTGTTGTTATATCAGTGACGATGTTGCCAATAGTAATGGTGCTACTGGCAATCTTGTCAGTTTGATACATTTTATTTTCGAGTAGAGTAGTTTTGGATATTGTTGTTGAATAGAGTTATCTACATTAGTGATTGTCAATGTAATTAACCTTACCATGGAAACCCTGCAGCAACCCTGACTCTTGTTTTAAGAGGGTAAGACGTCAGTATCCATGTGACGAAGGTCATAATTCCCTGACACTAGGCTTAGTGGAAATACCATTAATGTGTGTACAAGTCAGCACACAGCAAATCCGTTGGCCAATCAAGAAATACCTCTCATCTCTCGGAGAGTCTTCGGGTGACACAAATGTCTGATTATAACTTCATATGGGGAAAAGGCAGAGCATTACATAAAGCCTTTTGGTCATAAAAACTGAAGGCTAACACTGTTGACACCTGAACAGTTTAAAATTCCACATAGGAGTCCACTTCTATGTGTATGTGTCTTTAAATGATGTAGGAAGGTAATTTTGCAGGCATTTGCCTGAATTTGGACTCCATCTGTTCTCTATTTCATGTTTCATATGCTGAACATTTAGGGCTCCCATATGTCTGAGTCTCTATTCAGTTTAGCAATGGTAGCATTCTAATTAGTATCCTCCCTTGCCTCTCCCAAAAGATGCAGATGAAACCAGTTCCGTCTACTCAGACTTCACCTACTGGAGGCTGGAGGAAGGAGATACCTACAAGGACCTGCCCCATTCTAAGCCTAGGGGAGGACAGCCATCCCTAGAGAGGGACTCTCTCCTGTCAGATGATCCACTCTCGGCACAGAACACCCCTCGAGATGAAATGGTATCATCTAAGCACCAAGGGAAGGGCTCGAATGGAGCCAAGCTTGTGGAAAGTCCAAGAACATCGTCAAAGTAAGGAGAGAAACAATTTGGTTGGCATGTTATTTACTTTTTATTTTGATGTAGATTGTGTAGACAGAATACACAAAATGCAGTTTGCCCATACTGGACCTGGTGGATTTGCAATCAATGTATTTCAAATTCTCACATGCAGCAAAGGCCAGAAAATACAACAAAATGATGTGGTATCATACCATTGTGAAAGTGTTTAGTTTGATTTGGAAAAGAAATTGTGAAACTTCGCTTTTAGAGTTAGGGGCTGGAACACACATTACATTAGACCTTTCAGTTGTAAAAACAAATGGCAGGACCAAAAACTTTTGAGAAGCGGGGGACAATGGGGGACAATATCCCAGTAGAAAGTGACCATAATCTGACTTTAGAATCAATTATTATTATTATTATTATTATCATTACTTATACCTCACTTTTCCCTTAAGGCCCAAAGCCCAAATCAATGAAATAAAACATTTCTGGGTATGTATTTCTCTCGTCCAGCCGCATGGATCTCCAGGAGAAGTATTCCCGGCACATCGCTGACATGGAAGCTTACTACGAAGGAGAGCTGGAGGACCTCCGTAAGCAGCTGGCTCAGGCCAGGCTAGCATCATCTGTCACCAGGCCTGGAATGGGAGAGGAGCTGGTAGGAGCAGATGCTAGCGAGCTGTATCGGCATTGCCAGGAGCTCCAGACTAATCTCACTGCTGCTAATAGGTAGGTCTATGAGATTTGACTTCTTTACATCAAGGATGGATAAGGGGGAGGGGCATGGGAGAGCAGCTGATAGGAGCAGACGCTAGTCACCTGAATTGACATTGCCAGCAGCTCCAGACAAATGTCACTGCTGCGTATACATGTAGGTAGATCTCCAAGCAAAGACTTCTATGAGTCTGGAATAGAAAGGAGGAGGGAGAGGGGAAGGGGAAGGTATTCTACAGATCCAAAAATGTTTTATGTGTTCCTTTGGTTTTAAAAACTAGTAGACATCAACACCTGCCTGCCAACCTCATCATTGATAACGAATTTGTATACAAGCAAAGAATCTAAGGTTTGTAGGATGAAATCTATTGTACTCTGAGATGGGGCCTGTGTATACTAAACATTGTAAAACAGGCAGGGGTTAAAGTAAAATGTTCAAGAGATTGTTTGTTTCCTATTGAAATTCATTGCATTGTCCTTATTGTCTTAGGAGGATCTTGCTTTTCAAAATATATGAGCATAGATGAAGATTATCAAAATGGATGATAGATCTGTGATGAAATTTTGTGTTTTGTTGATTTTCTTTCACTTTTTTTTTTGCAGTCGGATACAGGACTTGGAAAATACTGTGAAGGCCCTTGAAGCGAGACTGGTAAGTGCTCTTAGCTATAGCAGTTGATATACAGTGCTAAATGTCACATTTTTCTTGTCATTTCATCAGATTCAAGCTCTAGTGGGGATGTCATATTGATAGCATCCAGTATAATGACAACTCAATGATGTTTGTGACATATAAAATACTGGACAACAAAGCTTTGGCTTTCCCCATGTGTACTTTATGTTTTCATTGGAAGTAAAAATTCAAAGTCGCTTAAAGGGGCTGTAGCATGGGAAATACTGGTTGAAGCCATCTACGTCTTCTTTTGGACAACTGCACGTAAACGAATGGACTTTATTAACTGGGTCAGCGCGTTAGCGTTCACGAAACAGACCGAAGTTCTCCTCACGCTTTGGTTTCGCGTATGTTGCATGCACGATAATACGTAGGCCTACTGCGGTCGCGTCGTCCGTAGTCGTATTAAACCTGATTTTCCCTGAATGGGCCTCTGGAAAGACGCATAGTCTTGTCATGTTACAGCCCCTTTAAAATAGAAGAGTTCTAATTTGGCCAAATATTAAAATTGTACTTTGTTTTTATTTGTCTAGTTGGAGTGGCCAGACAGGTACAGCCTTGCTAACAACACCATTGAGACCCTCCAGAAGAGAGCCGATGACCTTCTGCGTCTGGTCAAGAAAAGAGAAGATGACTTCAGCAAACTGGACAGTGGGAACAGAAAGCTGCAGTATGCACTGCTTGATGCACAAGAGGTAAGCCCCACACCCTTCAAGTTGCTTGCTGGATTATAGTGAGTATACCAACGGTGATATGAGCGTATTCTACAAATATCCTCAGTGCGACACAAATATTTCCTTTCTGAAATATCAGACTTCACAACAAGAGCATCTCCAGATGTAATTGGGTGAATTATTTTCCCCTAGTTTTGAAGATAATGTCAGACATGTAACCTAAGAAGGTTTCATGAAAATGGGTGCAGATCAATGTTGTTTATCACATTGTGACAGTGTTTGTTGGAGAGGCTTACAATACGAGCAGCGGCATTCTGCCATTTTCGTCCCGATCTTCTCCGTTTCCGCTTCTCGACAGTTATATCAGGGTTATACCATGGGTTGTCCTGGCGATTCTTGACCTTTCATATCTTAGCAGGTGCATGAATTTTTAGGAGATTACTGAGGTCAGCATTATAGCGAGAAACCGCTGTTTTGATGCCCTCTGCCATGGAGGGCATGAGGTTACTCTCTGCCACGTCCTCTGCAAAGGCTACCCTGTCCAGACCTTTAATGTTACGGGACGTGTAAGTGCGTTCAATGCGTTCAGGTTTTTAAAACGAAACATGCACAACAGGGCAGAGTGGTCTGAGATACTCGGAACTACATGGAGATTCGAAATCAGCAGATTATCCGCGTTCCGCTCTATACTCAGACCTGCCAACCAGTACGATTTAGTCGTAGTTAGTACGATTTTTAGAAGCAAATACGACAGTACGATTTTCCTTAATAAAATACGATTTTCAAAAAAAAAAAAAAAAAAAACGATTTTTTTTTTTTTTTTTTTTTTTTTTTTTTTTTTTTTTTTAATTAATATTTTATGTGGGCGTCCGCCATTTTCAATGGCAAAATGTCCATTTTATCCTGTAAAGTATCCTACAAGCATCACACATTGGCAATTTGGGGATGTTTATTGGTTAATCGAACACACCAGTCGTGACGAAATAATGCATATTCAACCAATGATCAATAACAAAAATTCTTCTTGTAGGTAGAAACTGTAAGAGGCATTGATCCGCGTAACAATTCGTGTTTATTTTCAAGAATACAACTTTTGTCAGTAAAATACAACTTTTGACACTAAAGAATACAGTTTTTGAACTCCAGAGGTTGGCAGGTCTGTATACTAGGAGTACATCAAGAATGTGGCCCTTGTCATGAGCTGGAGATGTTACCAATTGAAATAAGGCATGTCTATGGCATGAGGTCATTAAACTTGAGAGTGTACAGAGATGAAGTGTTGTCAAGATGAATGTTCAGGTCTCCAGTTTGTAGACCCTCTCATCAAGGAGTGAGGAAAAGTCATCAAGGAACTTGGGAATAGGACTGCTATCCTGTTGGATGATGATATCTAGTTGGGCAGAGCCATAGGAGACCGTTCCTGACATTGATTCAAAGCTGTTGAACTAATCTGGAGGGTTGATATCAAGGTGCAGATTGTCCCTGTAGACGAAACCAACCCCACCTCCTCGCTTTGAAACCCTAAGACAATACTTGAAGTCATAAAATATGGGCTGAAGATTTGCTAGGACTGCGTCGTTTGACGAAGATAACCATGTTTCACAAGCACATGCTATATCCAAGCAATGTTCAGTGATGAAATCCTGAAATATTGTAGACTTATTTCGAAGAGAACAACAATTAAGCATACCAAATTTGATGTTGTCTTTAAAACAATCTCTAGATCGACCACCCCTCTTCCCTTGATGTGTCTTCCGCCCTCGTTTAATACCTAAAGATACAATCGTAAAAAGCAGACTTTTATTATCGTCATGCCATCGTAATAAAGAAGAGGCTGGGCTGCCACTGTGTGAAGGATAAAATTGTGGTCTTTACACAGAAACGCATACACAAACAAGGCTATCCACTAGCGGTGGACCAATCGAGATAAGGCGTGTCTATTGATGAGGTCATTAAACTTGAGGGTTTACGGAGATGAAGTGGTGTCTAAATGAATGTTCAGGTCTCCAGTTATCACCAACGGGGACAGTTTATAGATCATCTCATCAAGTAGTGAGGAAAAGTCATCAAGGAACTTGGTGTAGGACTGATAACCTGTTGGTCTGTAGATAACAATGATATCTAGCTTGGCAGAGCCATTGGAGATCGTTCCAGACATTGATTCAAAGCTGTTGAATTGATCTGGAGGTTTAATCTCAAGGTGCAGATTGTCCCTGTAGAGGAAACCAACCCCACCTCCTCGCTTGGAGACCCTAGGACAATGCTTGAAGACATAACCATTGGGACAAAGATTTGCTAGGACTGCGTCATCTGACGAAGATAACCATGTTTCACAAACACATGCTATATTCCAATCAATGGTCAGTGATGAAATCCTGAAATATTGTGGACTTATTTCGAAGAGGACGACAATTAAGCATACCAAATTCAATGTTGTCTTTAAAACGATCTCGACCAACCCTCTTCCTCTCGATGTGTCTTACGCCCTTGTTTACTACCTAAACATACAATCTTGAAAAGTAGACTTTCAATATCGTCATGCCATCGTAATAAAGAAGAGGCATGAGAAAAGGCAGGGCTGCCACTGTGTGAAGGATGAAATTGCGGTCATTACACAGATACGCATACACAAACAAGGCCATCCACTAGTGGTCGGTTCATGCCACAGGCACAGCGACTATCTTAGCTATAAAACAAACATCTATTCAATTACAACATGTCACTCAAAACATCAAACAATCTGTGGAATACAGTCAGGGGACATTTTTGACACACAATATTTTCATGGCTTTATCCACTTAATGTTGACGTAGTTCCTTCAATCGTGGAGGATTAGCGCGCAAGCGGTCGATGTTATTTCCAGGGTTCCATGTGTGATGTCAGACTCGTTCACAATTACTCTTGAATTTGTTCATTTAAAATGAATCGGATTAAAAATAAGCTTACATTAGCTTAAATTTGTATCCTTCTCTCACTAATGAAAAGCAAACATGAAGAATTTGGGTAAATGGACATGAAAACATAAAAATTATTCCAACAATTTATTTGTGGTTGGTCCGCTAAAAAAAAAAAAGAATGCTAGTTTCCGCTGTGTTGTATAAGACCCAACTATTGCGCCAGTTGAGTATTTTTATTCAACTTCTTTTGCGGATAAAACTAGCGTCTCTGGAAAACCATTGCCATCTTCCATACCCGGAATTCTGGCCTCAAAATTATTGTCTCACAAAACTATAAATGTCAGCTCACATCGGTGAAAATGTGCTCTGTTTCGTTTACCTGCAAATGACCCTATAAGTAGGTCTTCTTTTTATGCCTCCGCCACCGAAGGTGGTGCCGGAGGCATCATGTTTTCGGGTTGTCCGTCCGTACGTCCGTACGTCCGTCCCGTTTGACCGTTATCACAATATCTCAAGAACCATTTAAGATTTAAACTTAAGACTCCGGAATAGTATTTATCACCATAGGAAGACGATCTGATTAGATTTTGGAGTACGTAGGTCAAAGGTCACAGGTCACAGAGGTCAACTTATGAAATTCCTTGTATTGAGTTTGTTAGCGCGATATCTCAAGAACCATTTGAGATTTAAACTTCAAACTTAAGGATAGTATGTATCACCATAGGAAGACGATCTGATTAGATTTTGGAGCACGTAGGTCAAAGGTCAAGGGTCATAGAGGTCAACTTATGAAATTCCATACATTGAGATTGTTATCATGATATCTCAAGAACCACTGGAGATTTAAACTTAAAACTTAGTGATAGTGTGTATCACTATAGGAAAACAATCTGATTACATTTTGGAGCACGTAGGTCAAAGGTCAAGGGTCATAGAGGTCAACTTATGAAATTCCATACATTGAGATTGTTATCATGATATCTCAAGAACCACTGGAGATGTAAAAACTTCAAACTTAAGGATAGTATGTATCACCATAGGAAGACGATCTGATTAGATTTTGGAGCACGTAGGTCAAAGGTCAAGGGTCACAGAGGTCAACTTATGAAATTCCATACATTGAGATTGTTATCATAATATCTCAAGAACCACTGGAGATTTAAACTTCAAACTTAATGATAGTGTGTATCACCATAGGAAGACAATCTGATTAGATTTTGGAGCACGTAGGTCAAAGGTCAAGGGTCACAGAGGTCAACTTATAAAATTCCATACATTGAGATCGTTATCGCGATATCTCAAGAACCACTGGAGAATTTTCACTTCAAACTTAATGATAGTATGTATCACCATATCATAATATCTCAAGAACCACTGGAGATTTAAACTTCAAACTTAATGATAGTGTGTATCACTATAGGAAGACAATCTGATTAGATTTTGGAGCACGTAGGTCAAAGGTCAAGGGTCACAGAGGTCAACTTATGAAATTCCATACATTGAGATTGTTATCATGATATCTCAAGAACCACTGGAGATTTAAACTCCAAACTTGTTTAAATTGCTCTATGGCGGAGGCATCATTTTCGACTGCGCGCAGTCAAAATTCCATCTAGTTTTTTCTGTTTTGGCTCTCTATTTCTCTCTTGCTCTCTCCCCTTTCTCTCTCTCTCTCTCTCTGTTACTATATTTATCTTACTTTTATTTTTACTTTTACTTTTTCTTTTTTTTTGTATTCCCTTTTAGTGTGTTTTACTGGTATTAGCTTTCGACCATAATTATTTAAGCGTATCCATGTAACTAAGTCAGGGGCTTGCCTCATACAAGCTCTGCTTTTTTAGCAAGCCCCTCCGTTTTGAATTACTTCATCAAGGTCATTTTTTTTTTTTTTTTCTATTGTTCAGTACTGTTTTTTCCCAATATTTCTTATCAACTAAATTTTGTTCTACATAATACTGAATTTACTTTGTTTATATTATATTTGACTGTATTATATTATGTCTGTTTATATTTTGTTTGTTTTGAAACGGAAATAAAATCTGAATCTGAATCTGAATCTGATTACTCAGTTGTGACTCTTGTCGCCAAAATACTTACGTCACATGATTATGTGTTGCCCTGCCCTTGTCTAAACGATGCCATCTTACCACTCAGCAAATTCTATTACGCTGACTTTTCAGCGGGCCTAGGTAGCTCAGGCATAGGCTAGGGGGCGTCTGTGTACCTAAGTGTTCCGAGGGGTTCATATTCAATCTCAAAATTTGACAAGAAGACAAAATGTAAGCAAAACATTTGTGGGCTTGATTAGAGTTACTTGAAAGTGTGGATTATTTGTGATATATCCTTAACGACATTAACACATACCCAACTTATATAAATGTGCATATAATTACCTACACACATGCATATTCTGTATATTAATCTATGTACACTATCCTGCAGGCTTGTCCAAAATAAAGTCACTGAAACAATGCTTATCTCACTTTTTGAAGTTTTTTCTTCCAAGAGTGATGAGATGATCCATTTATTTTTACTTTGCAGCAGCAACAATCCCAGCTGACTGAAGGCAAGAGGGAACAGGCCATGCTAAGCAAGGTTAGTCAGACTTCAGATTTATTAGGCTCCAGGGGGGTGTTTCATAAAGCTGTTTGTAAAGTTACGCATGACTTTACGAACGACTTGTATATTAAGTGCAAGATAGGATGCCCAAAGTTTTTCCTGATGTTTTAACAAAGTGTGACTATATTTCCAATAACTTCTATTGAATTATGGCAAAAAATATACTTTGCATTAAAAATGTTTGTTATTATAAGAATGTCAATCTACATCTGCACAGTTCAACTTTAGTTGATGCAGTTAAAAATTATTGAGCATCCCATTTGGCTTTTCATATGTAAGTCATTCGTAAAGTCATACGTAACTTTACGAACAGCTTTATGAAACACCGCCCAGGTATCAATTGATAACTAAGGTAACTTTTGACTAAATAAAATGTAACCTCGGCTCTTAACCCAAGGATGATATTTGTTAACAGACTAAACTAAAGTACCCCCATAGTCTATTCCTATATGAGCATATCAGTTCAATCTTGCTGCTTGGGATTTAATTATGGTCTTACTGCGTTTATCATATTTTTGTCAGTAATAATTTGTTCTCTCTTCTCCTTCCTACTGTCTCATACAGTTGATAGCACAGTTCACTCAACTGACAGAGCAACATGATAATACACAGGTAATTCTTTAATTTCACTAATTTACTTCAAAATATGCAAGTTTATTTTATGTATATTCTTGAATGAATGCTGACACAATAAACATGCCACTGACAGCTTTGTTATTTCCCCTTAACTATTGATTTCAATAATTATTAATTTCTAATGCAGAAACCCAGCCCATTTCAGTTCAGTTCAGTTCAGTTTATTTTATTTTTGCACGGCACCAACTTCAGCCAAAGGCTGTTCTTCTGTAGGTCCGTGCGCAATATAAAATATACATGTACAATTATAAAATAACACGTATCATAACATACAAATATTAAAAAACAAAAAATAAACAAGAACATATGTATACAAAGTATACCTCGTTGTTTCCCTCGGATATGCCGTAAACCTGAGGCACTCTCGTCGAGAATACTGTTCCTGTTCCTCCATTGTACGTTCTAGTGTCTTGAGCTGTTTGCTCATGGTGTTAACCTTTTCAGTAAGGCATTCATGATCTTTCTGGATTTGGGCGATGTCAAGTGACAGGGCTTGGTAAACATTTTGAGACACTTTCTGTACAATAGCGTCTCCGATCACTTCTTTCAGCCCGGCAATTACTTCGTCCGAACACAAAGCTTCTTTAATCTGTTTCTGTAGGGCTTCTTCGACGTAATCCATGGTCAATGGCATTGTACTGATTGACTGACCAACTTGACCAGCTTGGCTATTTTGAGCGTTGTCGGTTTGACCACGCTCCATCAACGATTTATGTTTTGGGGCTGATTTATTGGATGGCATACCGGTAATTAAAGTCAAAGTGTAGCGAATTTCCGCTGGATTTCAATAACGAAAGTTCTTACCGGACTGTTTGATGTTACCTTTACACCATATGCGACAAAATGAGATATAAATGCGATATAAATGATACACTTCTGCAGTAAATCGAACCTAACTAGAAGTCAAGTCATGAGGTCTTGCCAATTGTATTTTACCTTAGCTTTACATTTTCATTCTGGTGTTCTATTTGTTGAATATTTGAATCATTCTTATTCTTACCATTTGAATTCCCTTGGATCTTACCAGGCTGAGCTGCTGAAGGTCCAAATGAAACTAGATGAGGCAAACTTGTTGATTGGTGATTTGAAGAGGTGAGTTAGTAGTTGTATTAACATCCATTACGTAGAATGAGAAGATGATGATTATTTGTCAGGGCCCTCTTAAGTATAGCTGAGTGATTGATCATTACCATTTACAAGTCAATCAAAGCTTGAAAGAAATCTTAAGATTTTGGTTTGATACTCTGAATATAAAAACACTTATACTTACAAATTGCACATGTGGCGCAATCACCCAAAAGATGCCCAAATGTGCATGCACTTTTGCAGCAAATTTGAGTAATTTTGAGTAATTTATGACGTCTAGTTAGAAACTAGATTATACCTTGCAGACTTTGTATGTATCTAAACTAGTAAGGGACTGTTGGCTTTATATCCTATTCAAGAGAAATTAAAAGACTGCCTCTTATTTGTCAGGACGGCTGTACGACAGGAGCTTGAGATCAACCAGCTAGAAGGAGAAAAGAAGAAACTCCGTGATCACCATGACGACCTCCGTCTCATGGCCAGCCCCTTTCCCTCTCGCCCCCTCCCATCCACTCTCCTCCCGTCCAGTCCCCATCTCCAAGATGGGCTAGGTGAGATTGAGAAGTCTGAAAAGGATCATTCTAATGTGAACAACTTCTTGACAAGCCCCAATGAGACAAGACCCAATCTCTCCGAGGGCAGTTCACATCACGAAGCAACAACACCAAAGAGGTAATCTAGAAAAAGATATTGTATCACTTGCACTGACTAGGACTTAGCACTAGAGTGTTTGATTGTGAATTATTGCACTGGTTGTACAGTATGAAATTTTATCCGTAATTACAGATGTAGAAAAATTACAACATTCTGAAGGAATCTGGAGGAAAAGCTTAATGTTTCCCTGTCAAAATGGATGAATGTTTGCAAACTTTATTTCGAAAGTCATGTTATCGATGTAGGCCTTTGTTTTAGCTGTCAAAATGGCTGAACAACAATCTGAACTCATCACAGAGTGAAAAGCATTCAGTAAGACGTACAATCCTGTCTTATGAGTAACTTTACACACAATTAAACAATGATAAATGACCGACCCATCTCTCCCTTAGCCCAATTCTTTCAATTTATTAAAAGGAACATTGTCATACCATCAGTGATTCTTTTATGTCCCTTTGAAGATACCATTCAACATGAACCAACTGTATGCAGTGAACTCTTATGAAAGGGCTGTATTGTTCTCAACTTCTCATGCTTAACTTTGTAATCATATGTGACCTTATATAATGTATATGTCAGCCAATCAAAATTTGTTTCAAAAAAACTTCAAAACTTATCTAATGTCTGAGTTCCTTAGTTTAGACGTAGTGTATTTCACAATCTGATGTAATTTAACATTGTTTAATAATAATTAATTATGTTAAATTCTTTTCGTTCTCTGTAACTTCTCATGTACTTTCTTATGTTTAATGTTAAACCTTGTTAGGCGCCTTGAGCATCTCTTGGGGTGGATATGTGCGCATTATAAATATTATTATTATATTCAATGTTGATTCAACCTGTAGCCCGTCAAGTGTAGGAGACAGCTTACGTCTGAGTGTTGAAGACCGGAAATTTCTTCGGTCAGGAGCAGACTACAACATCTTGACCGGCCGGAATCCAGTCCAAAAGACTCCAACCATCGATCTATCTATTAACACTAATACAAGCAGGTAACAGAAAATTTGAATTGTATTATTTTTGTTGAGCACAAATTTTATCTTGCAAGAAATTACAACCGTTGTAGGATAAAGGAATTGTTTTCTGTTGCTATCTTCACGGAGGAGAACCATCCACATTTTAACTTCATTTTCATGTTCAAAGTTAGCAAATATCATTTATCCATCATGTTAACCCATCATGAATTAAGTTTTGTAGGAGTATGACACCTATAACTTACCATTTGTGTTTTACAGACCTTTGAAACCACATTTATCTTTTTTAACTCATTCGCGACAATGGTTCTCAAAATATGATCGCGCAGGACGCTCTTCAAAGAGGCAATCCAGCTGTTAAGGCCAGGAATACACCATTCACTGGCGGGGAAATGCATTTTATGAGGGACAATTTTTTTACTAAATGTTTGTGATTTACATCAAATAAATGGAAATTAAATCTTTATGAACAATTCTTCATTTATTTGTGGCTGTCTCAAAGTGTGATAATGCTTATATTTATTCAGAAATATCCCTTTTTCATGCACTGATTGTAATATATATGGACTGAAATGCCCTTCGTGGTAGTGGATTAGGCCACATGTCTACACATTGGGCTTGGGCTAGTCGATTAGGCAAAAGGGGTGTTTAGAAATTATTTCTCCAAAATAAGGGATAGAGTCAGGCTAAGTCATGTATTGAAAAATGTGATTATATTTTCTGGTATTGATAAAATATTACATTCCTTTTTTGACCAAAATTGCAGTATACAAATTATCTGCTCATTTTTTATCTACCATAATTAAAACCCCCCCCCCCCCTGTCTCAAAATGAAATGTGTATGCTCGAGACAATCATATCGATATGGCTTGGCTTAGCGCGGGAAAGTCTGGATAGCTGGGGCTACGTGTATGAATGTGTGTGTGAAGGCTGTAACTGGTTATATACACTGAAAGATATGTGTTGTTCATCATGACTCATGGTGGAGGAATGCAAGTAGTTAGACTGCCAACCAAGCATCGTTTATAATAAGCTGAAAGAATGTTCTTTGATAATGAGAAATAACGAATTTGGGTAGGATTCCCAATACCATAATTATTTCATAAATTATTCTTGAATATCTGAATCACGATGAGCCTATATTTCAAGAGGAAAAACCAGCCACAAATTAATTTGAACATTATAATGGGCTGGTAAAAAACTAGAATGAATGTAGTTCAGTTCATTCAAGGATAAGCTAGCCCTGGGCTTATGTAAATAAATTTGGATGAATGACCTCGACTAAACTGAGTGGAGATTCCCTTTATCACTCTTGAATATATTTGAATCCCAAATTGTTTATCTTAATTTATTCCAGAATGTACAGAAATAAATAAACAAATTTTGTTAAGGTTAGTTGCTCATTTGCGGGCTATAGTCTTAATTCTTTTTGGGAAAGTAATTCCCATTCATATTCTTGATGTGAGCTAATGAGGTAAAACAAAAAAAGTACTTATGTTCATTGTAGATTAGTAGATGTAGTCTATTTATGTTCTTTCTTTACATAGCAAGTAGTTTTTGTTGTTATTATTTTTTCATCATCGGGCCAGTAAGGCAGATATTATGTCAGAAAGAAAGAAAGAGAGAAAGAAGGGAAAGAGAGAGAGAGAAAGAAGGGAAAGAAAACACCTGCAAAGTCCAGAGAAGTTCCAACTATTTATAGAATGGCATACATACACACACACACACGTGGCATGCATCCAACTCCATGCGTACACAGCTTTAATAGCCATATACACACATCCCAATCAATGCACAATAATGGGCCTTTTAAAATTCATTACTCATGGTAGGATTTTTTCTAAGTCTAAGTAAAGAGTGCTCTGATTGGCTAATATTTTTCTGCAGAGTTTGGCTGACTCAGAGGTCACCAGACGTCCTAGTTTTTTTGTAAACACAGCAAACCACACAATGTGGTCGATTGTCGCGAATGAGTTACAGCTGTCCTAATTGATTAACCTTCGTCTCCTTGTGTCAATATTCACAGTACTAACGAGCAACCTGATGTCATATCTCCAATCCAAACTACGACCTCACCGCGTGACGGGCTCCAAGCTCCCTTCGACACTGACCTTGAAGAGCGCCCTCTGTCGCCGATGATGAAAGCAGCCGCGCAGTTTGACAGATGGCAGAGCAGTGGCAAGTCACCACGTGGCCAATTTAAATTCAGTCCCCCGTCCACCGAGCAGAGATTTGGTTCCAGCATGAACAATACAGAGATACCAGTGAGAGATGTACCCATGAGGAAGATGGACAAGAATGGTGACCAATTAGTTCTGTATAAAAAGAGGACAAAGGATGCTAAGAGTGGTGGGAGAAAGGATCGAGGTAAGCAAATTGAGAGTCGTGTTGAGAATGTCAGACTGAGGGTTTCAGCAGCACCTGTTCTGGACAGAGAGAAGGAGAAGTCCACTAGGAGTGCGTCTTACAAGAAACCTTCAACAATCGCAGATATCATCCAACCTGGAAGAAACAATGACTCGAGCCTCCACGTCTGGGCCTTGCATCAAAGCCCGGACAGTAAGACCAGGAACTCTAAAGGTAGCCCAAGACAAGCGGTATCGGTCTCGCCAAGTCAGGCCGCTCGTAAGAACCTGGCGAAATATTCTGTAAAGGATGGAAGCGGTAGTGGTGGTGCAGGAGGAGGAAGCGAGAGGAAGAAGAGAACAAGTCCCAGGAGGAATCTGTCCGCCAGCTTTCAAGCGTCGGAGAAGAAGCAGAAGGATGGAAGGAATCTGAGGGAGGGAGAGATGAGCAGCAAGGCAGTCCAGACACCAGGTGGTGAGTGTTGAATCACTTCTTTACCTTGTAGAAACCTTGAGCAGATCTACCAACTGCTGTACATTTTGTACTCTTAACGAGAAGGTTAAATGATATTTCAGAAGCGAGTTGTATATTTGAGAAATATGTGGCTCGTGTATGAGGTTGTGAGTGTTGAATCACTTCTTTTACCTTGTAGAAACCTTGTACATTTTGTACTCCTAACGAGAAGGTTAAATGATATTCCAGAAGCAAGTTGTATATTTGACAAATATGTGGCTTGTGTATGAAATCTGTCCTGTGCTATGATCAATCCACCTATCACTATCATAAATTTAAGGAATGTACCAGAAGCTCATTACAAGAAAAAATAGCAGACTGGTCTTTGATATGAAGTATTTGAACTTTGTAAACAAATACAGTAGCACTATTGATTAGTATTACCTGCTGGCTTCTAAAGAAAATAAAACGTGCGTAATATCTTGTGGGATACACAGCTTTTGTAGAATAGGGCTCAGAAACTTGAAATAGAGCCTTTGTAGAAACCATGAAACTACTTTTTTTATTGTTTTCATAGTGACATAAACGTGATTGTGAGAAAGTTGCAATTTACCAGGTCCATTTCTTTAAAGGAAAATGCCAGGCTTACATGATATTACTACACAATTATATGCAACAAATGTATGAAACGGGATACATATGATAGAAATAATCTTAATAAGATTGGCTGGCTGTACGTGGACAAGAATGGTGAGCAAAGTTGTACGTTCTGTATTTTCAAGTGAAAGATGAGGTTCTTGGTTGATACATTCATCTTTAGGTGTTGATTATACTTGTTTGTCTACATCAGCAGGTGAAGACTCGCTAGAGGCTACTCTGCAGAATGTCCGAGATGGTCATGTGATCACCAGAGCAGACTGGGAGAATGGCTTTGCAGAGAGTAGAATGGCTGCAAACAGGAATGCCAAAAGGGTGAGGCTTGTGATAGCAAGAAAAGGATATTATATTTCAGACATAAGTTACGCAGGAATACTATATTTTAGACAGTAGCAAGCAATCAAACCTTCTTTTTCTATTACTATTTTTCTTTTTTAAAAATTCAATTATCGATTTCTGTTTTTTTTTTTTTGGGGGGGGGGGGGGGGGAGGGGACCGTGTCAAATTCATGCAGCTATAAAAAAAATATATGGGAAAGTGCCTTGGAATCCTGATAAATCAAGTTTGATGGAATGTTTATGTGAAAAGGAAATAAACATGTATTTTTCATGGAGAATTATGTTTTGGTTTTATGCTACAGTTGTTAGCTTTGCTCTATCCTTCCCTATAGTGCTCAATGCATATCAGATATGCAGAGCGAAAATATATTGAGTAAGGCAGACTAATCGGACATGGTTGCAACTCCCGAGTTTCAGGCCTTGCAAGCGATCATCAGGCAACTGTTACCCAATTAGTGTGCCTTACTCAATATATATTTTAAATTTGTACTATTGCCAATCATTGGAAAATCAAGTATCATTGATATGGCATAGCATATACATTTATTTACATCACTAATACATTGTTTTAAAGAGAGAGGCATTATGCCACAACTTGATGTGTGAATAGTAAAATTTCATAGATCTTTTATCTCTGTGTGTAAATGTATTGATGTTATGTTTTGGGCTATCTTCTGCTAGGTGACTTCCAAGACAGCCGAGACACCAGAGGCCATTTTGAAGAGGCTGTCTAAAGAGAGCAAGAAACTAGATGATCTCATGCTAGAGAAAAGAAAGGTAAAAAGCGGAAATTGTGTTTTGTACATTAATATAACTTGGAACAGGTCTTGAAAGAAGATTTTACTGACTCTGTCATTTATTAATCTTCCATAAATATCTCAACCAAAGATTTTGCCCCTGATTGATTGACTATTTCTCTGTTCCGTCCCCTGACGATTTCTGCAAATCATGACAACTTTAGGGCACAGCTAAATCCTCTTCTTGATAATAATAATAAATAATAATAATAGCACACATTTATGTGCCAAATACTTTGTTTCTAGGCGCAGCACATATGATTACCCGATCATCGGATTTGGCTTACCCGCAACACGATGTATGCACATTTTCCACTCCCTGGGGAGCATTGATGGTGGCTGTTGAATTAATGGGGCTCCTGTTCTTACCAATCACTGCTCACGATATTACTTTTGTAACTAAATGCCTTTGATTTGTTTTCCATACAGTTGGAGAGTGCACTATCTCACTTACCGAACTCAGGGCCAGCCAATGCCAAGAGAATTGAACAACAGGTTAGTGTCCAATATTGCAGAACATTTTCTGTCCTGTTTGCTGATGTAAGGGTAGTCACAGTTGCCTGCCATTGCATCTTAGATGTGAAAGAAAATCAATGTATGATTCCTTGGCATCACACGTTGCTATTGAACACTGTATGCAATCAGTTGATGAACGTTTAGCCGTGCTACAGAGACGTGGTCCTATAATTAGATTGTCTTTTGGGAGATACCTTGGCATATCCAGTTGAGAACATAATTTGTTTAATCTGCGACAATTTTTCTGTTTATTTACTTTTGTTTTGTCCTATTTCTGAAATATTTCTTATCTCAGGAAAGACTGGAAGAGAGGCTAGACCAGGTTACCCGAGAGCTTGGATCGGTCCGCATGCTCCTCCGCAAGTACAATGCCCTCAACATGTCATTTTAGGCCAGTCCGTCCAATACATCCCCATCGCTCTCTCGTCGTTTGCTCTTCCGCCAAACCAACGTCTTTTTCAAAGTAGTACAAAGCCAGTCAGGTGATGTTTTGAAGGTCAGGTGATGTTTGGTAGGTCAGGTGATGTTTGGTGCCTATGTCTGCTGTGTTTTATTTCAATCAATATTTGTGGATACAGGTACAGGTACAGGTAAAGGTTTATTGTGAGTCGTGCAGACCTATGAATGTCCTTGGTATATCAACATGTTTGCCTTGTGTGCTGAATGTATATTTATGTAAATATATGTATATATATTTTTATTTTTTTTTAACAGTCACTGCACTTAGGTTTTCATTTTGAATGTTTCCCATACTGTACTAATGAAATTTCAGTACTGGAAATACTGGAAATAATGCACAATCCATCATTACAGTACATTCCTGAAAAAACTAGATATTTATTTGTACAAAACACCTTGCCTTTAGTTCACTATATTTATTCATTATCGGTTTCTTCTATGGCATTATGAATGACTACTTTTTATCTCCAAACTGGTTCTTATTGTTACCAATTGATTTGAGAACTCTATCGTACTGTTTCAAAAATATCTTTAAATTATTTTACGAAGGTACTTCCAAGAATATCAGAATATCAGTACTAACTTTTAATGAATTTTTTCTTCAAGATTTGGAAAACTTTATTTTTTCAAAACACAATTCTTGACAGTATTAACATGCATAAGAATACCTACCGGGTATATAATATTGGATGGCTTTGAGTGTGATACAAGAATTTACTGTCATAGCGAGAGTTATGTTTATATAGTATTACAGGAAAACAAAGCCATACAATGTTATTATCATTATCTATATCAGCTGACTAGCAAAATAACAAAATTTGATTCAATAATCAAGCAATATTGATCTGTCATCCAGGTACTACGCTAAAGATATTAAATACACTGATTTTTTTGTACCACTTGGAAGCCTTATGTAGATAATTGTATATATTGGTTTACTGCAATTAATTGAAGATACTTCCTCCATGTGGACCCAATTTTGCCTATGCTAAGATTAAAGAAGGTATTTCTCACCAAACATGTTAAAAAAATATGGATATAACTTGGAAGCAGCAGCTTACATCTAATCCTAAATCAGCAATGACAGTGGCTTGAAGAGGTATATAGTGACTTCATCAAGTTATCAGGTGCAGTAGATTCATGTAAATTGCAAGGTATTACCTTTCATGTAGCACACTTGAGTTGCCTTTCTGCGCTGCTGTCGTGTAGCCCTTAGGCGTGAAGAATGTAATGCATCTCATCAAGTATCTATTTCTTTCATTTCCTTTCAAACATACAGCTCTTTTTATTTTTTAGAACAAATTGTCACTCGAAAGTATGTTTATCCTCTTTCTTAATAATATAACAAACTAGCAGCTCTTCTCTTCAATCGGCATATTGTGAATGGATGACTGGGAACTAGTTGTTGGGTTTCAAACATAAATCTCTTCTTTTTGTTGTTTTTAGAACAAAATGTTATTTGCAAGTATGTTTATCCTCTTTCTCAATGATATTACAAACTAGCAGCTCTTCTTTTCAATTGGCAAAGAGTGAATGGATGACTGTAAACTGTTGGGTTATACAGTGTATAAGGTTGAGCAGATATTATTATTATTATTATTTATTCAGAAAAATTCATAATTATCTTCATAAATAAATAAAATTTCAACAAGTGAAGCACATCATTTTAAAGAGAATGATGAAATCTACAAGGTGATGTTAATAACTCAATAACCCCCAAAATCGGGTTAAGGCCCTTTTGGCATAAGGCCGACAATGTATGAAAATTATTAATACAGTATAAATGGTCAGGATGCCCCAAAAAGCCAAGGCTTGATTAATGGGGTGCCCAATACATAAAGAAATATACATACAATAAACATGAGATACAAAACAAACTTAATTTAAAAAAAAAAAAACACAAATCACACTACACACAGAGTGGTTAGAATTCAGGGACCAGCATTGTTCAGTCTTTGTTTTTTAGCTCCGTTCCAAGACCAAAACTTACTCAACTCATCCACAGGATGAGTATCTACAGTGTATGTATATACATCGGTCTATACACCCATCACATACTCATCAAACCACCAAGACATCATGGTCATCTCTATCAGATTTCCAGGTATGCTTGAGTCTTGACATCTCCTTCATATTTACGATGAACCCTTTAAAGGTGTCGTTGAACTTGGGCACACCTTGCAAAAACAAACAGCTGTTGCTGCGGTTTTTCCCTTGATGCCTTCTCCTTGATTTGTTTTCCTTGTAGATCCTGTAGGTCTTTCCTCACCTTCTCCAACTGCTTTTGCAAGTCACTAATTTCAATACTTGTGTCAGTTGTCTGCAGACCACTTGATGATTTCATTTCATTTGCACCAAACACTTGCTTCCTCAGTTCCAAGTTTGGTCAAAATTTACTTATTATGAAGAAGATCAACATGTTTTTTGACACTGTATTTTATTCCCTCCATCTTTAGTCTCAGAGGCTGCCGAAAGTTGAGCCAATGTGTGCGATCCGACCCCCTTCGCTCTTCCTGCAAATGCTGAAAGATTTAAACCTAAACAGAACAATTTTTTTTTTAGAAGTATTAGTGATGCTTATCAGAATTGCCAAGAGTAGCCTTACATGTTAGCTCTAACAACATGATGCTCAGAAATAGTAAAGTTCGCTGGATGCTGCCCATAAAAAGCTTCACTAGTACAGTTTTCCAATCTAAGCCAGACTATGAATTCAAGTCTTGATTCAGGTACCTTGGTCTACCATCTTCAGTATTAGGGATCATATGGTCCCTTGGTGGATGTCTCTCTTTTCAAATCTTTGATGTATACTTGCAGTAAGTGTTATTACTTTCCTACCCCATAATGCACTCACATGTTGGAGTTGTGTACAGTGGGAATAGTTCTTAACCCAGTTTGGGTGTGTACTGCTCAGTATTTGTTATGAACAATTAAAACAATTAAAATAATGTTTCTGAGTGTACTAAATTACAAAACAATAGAAAACAAAAAGTATAAAACAATAGTTAACATATGCAATAGAAATAAAGCAATACATAAGAAAAATGAGTCCAATCTGTGCATATGATTGGCATAAATCAATATTGTTATTCAGTCATTTATACTAAACAACTTTGTTTAACATATTCACGAATGGGAAACCATTGAAGGGGGCTAGCGCTAGAGGGCTGGAAGCTGCGACGAGAAGCAGTAAAGTATCGTATAACCTTCCAACTTCTAAGATCATCGACAAGATGTTTCAAAGAGATATCTTACCTTCCCTGGCCAATTTCCAAGCCTTGGATAGGGGGCCAAACACAAATCTTCCTTTTTGTACGACATCCTAGCTTTGTTACTATACTTTTAAAGTTTGTAGAATAAAGCAATAATAATTTAACAGGATAGTTTTAACTGGAATGAACTGTTCTTAACTAATTATATAGACTAACAATAAAAGCTCAGTCCATTGGCAAAAGTAGCAGTCATTACTTCCGCCAGAGGAACCCCTTGGTTATTCACCACCAATTTGCCTACATTACCGAGAAAGTAAGGAGGATTGTACTGACATTCAGGATGGACCTTCAGGTGTGGGGAGTCAGTCTCCAAAAGAAGACGATCTCCGCCGACCTCGTGTCCTCAGGGCTATCCTATGAACTACATAGCCCATGCGGTCGTCACCCCGGCCTCGAAAATGCATGACCAGCACCAAGGGTACCCAGATCCAGGAGGCTGTGCAGGAGTTGCTCCTGCTGCCTCCACTGGTTCGGGGGCCCTGAGAAGTCAAGCCCCACTTCACTCAGCACAACCACTCGGGGATATGCCAGGTAATGCTTCAACAGCTCCCAGTGTTCAGATGTGAACACGGAAGCCTTCTTTGGGTGAATCCGAACCGCCACAGCGCTCCCTCCTGAGAGTTCCCGAGCAACTGGCTAAGCGAAGAGGTTGCCCAGCAGCTATTAATAAACATACCAATGCCTTGTACCGACTTAAGACCCACAGCAAAGTAGAGGTCATTTCCTTTCCAGACAACAGATGTGTTGTCCAATTCCGGATCATCAAAAGTAACTGTCCGGTACCTTTGCAGTATCAGACGGAAGTAACCAGAGCCCTTGTCGTTAAAGGCTACCTCACCAAGCTGTGGTTTGAAGGACCCACTTATGACTTCCTCTTTGTTGAGGCAACATTCAACCCGAACCTGCATGTGATGTTTACGGGTGATTTCTGTACCGGCTTCCGGATCAGGCTTGCTGTACGTGATTACATTGGAGAATGTAATAGCTGTGTTATCCTCCTATAATGACACCAAGTAATATAAAATAAAATAATGTTACGAAAACAGCGCTCCCTCCTGAGAGTTCCTGAGCATCTGGCTAAGCGAAGAAGTTGCAAAGAACTCTGGATTACAGTAGTTCCTCACTCCCTCCTCAACATGAACCAAATGGTCTGTAATCCTCCCTGAAGTCAGCAGGTTACGATGTCCCCTTGAACTGTTAATAGAGGCTTGCATCCAGTTCAGGTGAAAGTGAGCGTCACAACCAAAGCAAACTCAACAATGCCATTTTTACCCTCAATTTGGTTCCTATTGTCTGCCTTGTGTTCCATTATGGCTGGGCCCAAGGCCGCACCATACTTCTTTGCCAGGCACAATGTCCTTTTGATTAAGGACTTCTTCACATTGACCTCTTTCAAACTAAGTCTGTCATCTAGACACCATTCAGCGAACTCAGCAATGCCATGGATCTTAGCTCTAGATGTTTTGAGCAGGTACTTTTCTTTCCTCTCAAGGAAGAAGCTACATAATAAAGAAATCATTGCACTTGAAGTAACTCATGGTCACTGATTAATGTACTAGTATTACATTAGAACTAAATTAAATAATGGACAAGCATGTTCTTGTTTTTCAGTACCCTTCTTATTTAACTCCTGGGCGCTGAAGCAACTATGGCCCCCCAGGAGTTCTAAAACGGCGCATGACACACTATACATACACTTCGCATTAAGCA